CACACACACACAAATACATACACACACACACAGGCTTATATAACGCTCTTAGTTTGGCACAGATCCCATAATAGCTCATTCCTGGCAGGTGAGGGGAGACTATCCTCAAACTCATCCCTGATTGAACCAACGGAACCTAAAAACGATGATATGATGTAGCATTTTCTGCATTTAACATTCTCCATTTGTCCTCTGCAGACATGCCCAAAGAGCTCCGTCTGCAGGCAGCTCGCGCCGCCGTGCTGTTGCTGCCTGATGAGAACCGCGAGGCGCTCCGGACTCTGCTTTGTCTGCTGAGTGACGTGACAGCCAGCGTGGCCGAGAACCAGATGACTCCCACCAACCTGGCTGTTTGTCTGGCGCCGTCCCTCTTCCACCTCAACACCCTGCGCCGCAAGGAAAGCTCTTCGCCAAGGTGAGTGTTAGACTGTGCCCCGCTGTAACTGGTTCAATTTTATATTATTACCTCCACCAAGGAGGTCATGTTTTCAGCCCTGTCCATTTATTTGTTTTAAAGCAAGATTTCCACCAACTCAGTGGACGGATAGGATATGAGTTAGGGAAGAACTTATTACATTTTTGTCGCAGATCCAGGATTTATTTTAACTTTCTGTAATATTGCGAGATGAGAGCATGTTCTGACATTTTCACTGATTTTCCAAGTAATAATTTATGGCACATCAGAAATCCATGGTGCAGCTTTTATTTAATTTATGGGGACTGTTCGTGGGATTATGCGCTCTACTGAGTGCCATTCGAGTTACTTTGTTTTCAGTAAGATCACTGACACAGTTACCATGTTAGCAGCTTACATAACATAAAATATACTGTACATTCTGAAAACAGGAAAGAGTCGCTCCAAAGAAACAAAAGAGCAGTATACTGTAAATAAAGGACAGAGAAGAAAAGAGAACAAAATGTATGTAGAGAGGAAGGGGGAGAGACGGAGGAAATAGAGAGTTTACATAAACATCTTTAGCTAATTAAGAAATGTGTATTGTTCCACGTGTGGCACAGCAGGAGCAGGGTTCGTCAGGTGCACACTGCAAAACACCTTTTCTTTCCATCCTCAACCCCAATCGGCTTTTTCTTCCACCCACTGTATCTGTGATGGATTCTCCTCCTAATCTTCTTTCCCTCCTCTCTTGGTGAAGGGTGATGAACCGGAAGCAAATGCTGGGAAAACCGGACCAGAGAGACCTGAATGAGAACCTGGCCGCCACGCACGGTCTGGCACACATGATCCAGGAGTGCAGGAAACTCTTCCGGGTTAGTGGATAAAAACCAAAGGAATAGAATGTGTATTCTGATGCAGTAAACTCCTCACATTTGAGGTTAAAGTGAGCTTGAAATGTAAAAGCAAATGAGATCAGAGGGTTTGTTGCTAGAGATTTCAGCTCATGAAGTTGTTATTGCTGAAAAATGAATCGTCACCTCCGTGGATCACTGAACCATGTTTTTGCCAAACACCTTGTCATTGTGTGTTTGTCCTTTAAACAAACATAGTCCCATTAATGCAACTTGTTATCCCCTTCTTGTCATCATTTGTTCAAGCCATGTTATGATTAGGTAAGGTAAATGCACACACTGGCCTTCTGCTTTAAATGCCCCTGTTGTACAGAGCAGGACTTTACTTCATGTTATGCGGAAACATAAAAATACAAGACAGTCCCACAGAGGTCACAAACCCATGAATCCATCTCCTCCAGTGGTTAAGTGTGTCCTCAAGGAGAGCACTTGATCGGATAAACAGGAAATAATCAGCAAACTACACTATAACTAATCTAATCAATGCCATTCAACCTGAGGTGCTCTCTGCCCAGCTCTGTTTTCTCTGACATGCTATAGTAATTACTGAAAGGCTGCATACTGTGTGATTACTGTTCAAAACGTTATTAGATTGAGTGAGAGCTTCCTGGCTTCCTGTTCTTATAATTGTCCAGTCAGACCAAAAGGAAACTCAATTACCTCTCAAATTAGTCCCTTTAATTAGATTTTTATTTGCTCATGCAGCTTTATAAATGGAAGCTTACCGATGAAATGTAATCAACTTCAATGTGAACCAACTTTCTCTTATGTATTGAGAATCATTATCTCAGTAATATTGTCAGGATTCAACCGAACCTCCAAGTTGCCAGCTACAAATAAGACAAAGAGATTTGAAAATGAGTTTGGCAAACGAGGAGATGAAATTATAAAACCCACAGACATGTTTTAACCTGCTAATGGCAGCATCCACACAATGGCAAAGTAATGATGACACATTGTTTTGACTGTCATCTTCCTCCCTCTCCATTTTCCCACAGATCCCAGAGGAGATGAATCGCTGCAGGAACTCCTACGTGGAGCAGGCGCTGCTGCCTCGACGCCTGGAGGATCTTGCCTGCGAAGAGGCTGGGCAGGGCGCCTACAGGGGGTACCTGCGAGACAGCCTGGACGCCCTCCTCAAAGAGGCCAAGGACAAGTTCAGAGGATACGACAGCTGCTCCACACCTGAGCACGCCGAGCTGGCCTACAGAAAGGTACACACAGTTTTTGGTCTTCAGGGAAAAAGCCGATTATCAATCATGTGTAAACAAGCCGTCGTGAGGCACACACTCTCTTTTCGACTGTTTCCTGTCCTCTCCTTCGCTCTCCTTCGTGTTCGCCTCTCCCTCTCTCCTGTTTCTCTAAATATCCAGTGGAAAACCAGCAGTTAGGGTTTCCTGTTCAGAAACACATCCGTGTGAAACTGGCCTGGCCCTTGGCCTCTCATTCCCATCCCAGTACTGGACTCCATCCCAGAATGACATCAGCCTGACACACACACATACATTCATATGCAACCACACTATTATCCCAGGCCTACATTTCCTGTGTCTGGTCTGGAAGGTTATCTTCCCTCCAGTTTGAGAGTCACAAGGCAAAGAGAGTGAGCGTGTACTTTATCATCTGACAGAAGAATGAAGCAGCTGACTTGGCCAAAGGGCAAAGAGAGGTTCTGAAACACAGTCCAACTGTTCTGCATTAAAATTATAGCTTGATTCTGATATCTAATTTCTGTGACTATGACTGATGCGATTAGATGCCCAACAGGAATTTTCCAAACACTTGCACAAGACAGTTTAGCACATGAACTGAAAACTGAAACTGAAAATGTAAAAGCATTATACTCAAATAAGTATGTTGTGATTATTCAAAATCACATGAAAAAAGATTCAAGACACATTCCTCCCATTGAATCAAATGACTTTTTTTGGTGAAATTAAACTTACAATCTGTTTCGTTCTCCTTGTAAACTAATTACAGTCTTGTAAACTAACCTATCCTCCATCTCCTCTTCCAGGTGCATGATGGGTTTCCACTGCGACTGTGGAAGGTGACCGTGGAGTTGCCCGCAAGTCCGGAGGAGGTGCTGACAAGGGTGCTGCGGGAACAGGGCCACTGGGACGAGGATCTGCTCGAGAGTCGAGTGTTGGAGACCTTGGACGAGAAGACAGATGTCTACCAGTACGTCAAGAACACCATGGCTCCACATCCCACCAGAGACCACGTGGTGCTCAGGTACGTCCCTCCCCTTCGTCTGTCCTCACTACTCGCCTCGTCTGTGTCTTTGCTCTGATTCATGCCATTCATGTTTTTAATTGAACGTTCTCTGCTCTTTCTACCAGAACGTGGGTAACAGACCTACCAAAGGGAGCGTGTGCACTTGTGTGTACATCTGTGGACCATGAGGGGGCGCCTGTTGTTGGCGTTCGGGCCAATGTTCTCACCTCACGCTACTACATTGAGCCTAGCGGAACCAACAAATCCAGACTCACGCATATTTCCAGAATCGACTGCAGGTTAGTGGATGATTAATTTGGGAAATTCTTAAGCCCCTACTTTTGTGGTAATGTAGCTGATGACACAATGATCGACCTTTCCCCTCTTTCTTTTCTTTTCAGGGGTCGTTTTCCAGAGTGGTACAATAAGCTGTATGGACACTTGTGTGCTAGTGAAGTGGCGCGGATACGTGACTCTTTGACGGCACCCATGGACAAATGAGAGAGCAGTGTGCAGTTTGGGCAACTACAGCCTCAACAGTTTTTTTTAACCTTGGCCTGTTGGACCATAATTTGGATCCTACTGGGACTTGGTGTGACTCATTCCACCCGTTCTATCAGAGAGGGAGACGGGGTCCAAACCTCTTTATACTCACATGTAAAGGACAAACCCTGGATCCTTGATTGAAGGATGTCTTTTTTTTTAGATCATGTCACAGCAGACTGATGCTAAAGTTTTGAACTGTTTGATTGGGGCTGTCAGCCTAGAGCTCAGCTGCCAAGAGGTCTCATGTCACACAAACATTTATCTGGGCCAAAGGACTTGATGACAGGATGTGAGATTCAAGCTTTTATCCAAAGGGTGCTATTGCTTCTGAGAAGCAAGGGGGAGTCAGTGTGAGTGTGTGTGTGCGTGCAAATTAACGTGATTTAAAAAAATACATTGCACTGGTTTCCAGTCGCAGCATAATGTGTACATACAGTATTGTGTCCACGGTGGGTGTCTGTCTTGTGTTACCTCTTTCGCTTTCCCTGTCACAGCAAAGCACAGGAGGAATAGCAGACAATATTATGGTCAGTTGACTGATGAATCTATGGGTGAAGAAAGATGCGAATGTGCTGTTAATATGCAGACTGAGTGGAGACAATAGGCGGGATGTTGTGAGGTAACAGGTGGCCGATAGCATAGAGGGTTTTTTTGTCGCAGCAGGGACAGATGAGGGCGGTGGCTGGCTCACCAAAAGGAAAGAAGTGATCAGAGAAAAAAAGGCTCATTTATTAATTAATTAGTTTCCTCTTTCCCTCAATAAGAGTTTAACTCAGTTAGTCTGAGTGTGTCGTTAGTTTGATGTGAAATCTGCAAAAAGTAGAGCACAAACTTCTGCCGGGGCTGAACAGTCCCCTCAAATTCAATCAAGCACAAAATGACATACACTTATAGATCGCTCCCTTCATTTCAATCAAGATCCATAAAACATGGTTCATCAGTGAAAATGGCTTGAAACATTCCTGGATCCAAAACAAAATGGCTTTTCTTTCAACCCTGCATCCTTCTGCCAAGTTTCCTGGAAACCTGTATAGTTGTATTTACACAATTGTGCTCACAAATAAACAAACCAACCAACCAACAAAGGGACGGGGGTGAAAACAAAACCTCATTGGTGGAGGTAAGCATTCAATGAGGTTAAAACAACATCAAGAGCCCATAGGTAAGAGTCTGTGACACAGCCTCAGTGTTAGAGAGAGGAAAACTTTCATTTTTGCAGAATCAATCACACAAAGTAAAAGTTAAGATCAACAGACTTAATGGACCAAATTTAGAGAAAATCAACTTTTCCATGTAGAGCTTTTCCTCACTATTAAAAGTGTTAGAGGTTTCTTTTTTAAAAGCACAGCACAATTCACAGTTTTTGATTATGTTGTCGTCTGAACACCACTTGTCAAATATAAATTTCACAATTTCTTTTGATGTACATGAGAACAGATAAAACAGACAATGCTCTGTTCTGAACTGCTACAGGAACCTCTGGTTAGCCCAATACGAGAAGACGAGAAAACAGGGAAAAAATGGTCCTTTTATAAAGGTGGAGATTTTACAGGTTTTACTGTAAAGAAGAGGGCAGATTGAATGTTTGTGTGATTTCAAAGGAAGGAAAAATATCTGTGTTAATGCTTCTCTCTCTGTACTGTCAGTGTTTTTTTAAAAGGAAGTAAGAGATGTGGGGTCGTCACGACAAAGTTGACCGTCACTCATAACATTCACGCTTCAATCTGAGGGCTCGCTTTTCTCATGTGGAGTCGTCTGATTAATTCACTAAGCCATCGTTCTGTTGTAAATGTTTCTTAACTGTGTCCCTGCCAAATAATAACGCATGACAATGACAGTTAATTTAAAACAAATATATTTATACCTCAGATATATGTTTGTTTTGTATCATTTTATTTTATTTTATTGTAAATGTTTAGCTGTCGTGTTACAGAAATGAACAAATGTTTTATCTTTTTTATTAATATTATTTCTGTACAGGTTAATCAAAGTGCACTATTAAATATATTAAAATAATAACTGTGTGTCGTGAGAGTGATGTAACCATGGGACCACACAATAACATAAAAAGTTCTTGTTCTGCTCTTTAAATCCCTCTGTAATCTCCCCAGTCGTTTGCTTACACTACAGTTTATTCCGAGCGCTTACACCTTCTCACATCCAGAGCTCAGACTGACTCTTGAACCCCCCCACCCCTCACATCTCACCGCCTACATCCACCTCGCTCCTGCTGTCATCTCACGCTGATGAAGCTGTGATCGGGGCAGAGAGGCATGAAGTGCACGCAGGCGGGTATCAACTGGCCTGGTGGAGGGTGATCTCACTCCTTGTCTTGTTTCTTACATAACAGTTTCATATAGTAGGAGACAATGCAGTCTGTTGTGCCACGGAGGGGGGGGTAAATTCAGAGGGGTCCAAGGGTCAGGGTGGGGGGGCTGATGTACCCCTGTATTGTTTTAGAGGTTGCCTTCATGAAAAAACATCTTTCACGTGCACGTACTGTACCGAGGTGTCACGTGCTGTACTTGTTTTGTTCCAGCTTTGCTTTTATCCAAACAGAGGAATTACTATGATCCATAAACTTGTACTGTGTATTTATGCAGCTCAACGACGGGTACTTTCCGCACATGTGCTGAGTGACTTCGAGAACAAGCTTTGACGTGGATCAGACGAGTCATGCTTTTACATTTTGTGCTGGAATATTCACTCACTCTTTCTCCTGGTGGTACATAAACACGTCCTGTGCTCCTGAGTGCGAGTGAGGAGCTGGAGATTAACCAGAGCCTCACACAAACACACACACACACACACACATTTCACCACACACATACAGTATGTGTGTATCTGTCTTGACACTTGACATTGACCTTATAAAGATTTGTCACCATACTCTATTTCTCTCCCACGTTCTGTTTTGCCTCTCCTGTGTGTGTTTGTGAGATCACAAACTCGACCATGTTTTTTTGTGTGTACTGTACGTGTGTATGTGTTTGTGCTTGGAATGCAAACACCTCTGAGAGATTAAGCAGGGCCAGATAGGGCCGCCCCAACAGTCCGCAACCGCCACATTCTTGCTCTGTTGTTTGAGAATCAAGCGCATAAGGTTTCCCACATTGATAAATAACGCAAACACGTGTGAAAGAAAACTCGTGTGTACAGAACAGTGTGGGGGTTATTAATGGATCCAGCGCAGGTCTGATTTTATATTTTATTTTTATACTTTGAGGTGCTGCTATATATTGAATTTTTTCCTGGTATTGAAATAAAACAGCGCAGTGGTCATTCTAAACCTGCCTGTCTGGTATGGGCCATTTGGCTTGTTAATGCTCTAGAGCTACTTTAGAATTATTCCTTGTCATTAGTGAGTTCTCATCAAACAGTTCTACAATATACTGTCACTTTCTAATTGTTTGTGTGCTGGACGTCGTGTGCGGAGTTTTTTTTTTTATAAACAAATAAGTTACAGAACGTTGTGTTCATCCTACCTGGTTTATCTGCAGTGGAGATTTTATGGTCTTTTATGGTCTGTTATTCAATTTCTATTAATATTGATGGTTTCTCATATCCAAATCGCACCACAATTGGCACTGCACTTTCTTGTTCTCAATTAACATGCAGAGAGTCAAGCCGATTAGATGAATGGTTATTGAGATAAGAGTTCCACATACAGACTGACAAACCGTCATCAACGTCAATCATTGCACATTTTACGAGGCTGACACATGCAGAAAACAGTTCACACCATACAAACTAACCCAATCATCACAGATATTTATTGAATCATATCATGTCGTTTAAACTGACTTTGTAACCAGCTTCTGCACCGGCACGATCAGTGAGCCGTCGTGTTTGCTCACAAGAAATCCCACAGGCGTGGCAGATATCTGAGGGGAACCGTGGGTCACATGTCTGCGTGTTCCGATGGGTCACTCGTGGTGCTGTTGTGGCAACAGGAATGTCGTTGTTATTAAAAACATTGTATTTTACCAGTCAACATGGCCAAATAATCAGTCACAGGATATTTACAACTGACTTCATATCACTGCTGAGCGTACGTACACATTCCAGCAGTTCCACAGACTGGACGTACAGTAAAGGTTTAAAATGGGAAAACAAACGGGTTTGTTTTGTCTGTCCTTCTGAAAATAACGCAGGTGAATATTCTGTATAACCACCAGTGTCCCACATGGTTCAAATCCACATCCCACAAAGCAGGTGTCCTGACACAGCAGTTTAATGAGGACTCTTTATGTGGCATCACAGAAATAAAGAAAAATAGATTCATCACTCAATGTAGACATAACCAGCATTAACACTAGAGCAGGATCACTAATGGATACAAAATAAAAACTGTATATGAACATGCATGACTGGAATTTCCCTCAGTTGACCAAACTGAATTTTTAGGGGAACAGTGAGTTTCTCTCATATGATGTAATGGTTAAGTCTTAGATCATCAGTCGTGACATGAGACTCTTCTCTGTGTCAGGTTGAAGATATTCAGCCGTCATCATTCTGATATGTTCTTGTTAAAGAGCGATGGCTCTGAGCACATCCAGCTGATTCCTCATGGGAGTGTCTCAGAACAGGAGGGGTCCCAGCTGTATGTCACACAGTCTTACACAGTACAGCTCTGCCCTCCAGTGGCTGTATGAATTTAGATTAGTGTGCGCTCCTATAAATCAGTCTTCTCTGCATTCTTCAGCCCCTTAGGTCACTGGATTTCTACTCTTTTGAAAAAATATGTATAAAGGGCTTTCCCTCACACTGGACTGGCCCTATAGAATATACTAGGCCCTCAAAAACTTCACCTCAACTTCACATTCATGTGGGTTTTAGACAGTCCTGTGACATAAACTAAAAAAAAGCAATGTATTTTTATGATTAAATTGGAAATCAACAATACATGTTGGTGAAAGTTTTTTTCAAATCAAGGCCCTGACAGAATGCAGTTAGTGAGCTAAAAAGCAAACAAAAGATTAAACTTATGTTTCCATCATTTTTTCTTCAGTCATTGTTTTTGTGTATAAAACACAGAAGTACATACCTGTAACATGTCATGTCTTTTCTTTTCTGTGATTTCATTTTAATGCCTCACGAGAGGCGTTTTTATAATTTATACTTTTCACCCCTAATAGACCACTAGAGGGAGGCGTCGCTCCATAATACTCCTTCGTGTCCACGCCCCGTTTGTCCTCACACAACCTCATGCTGATGTGGGAGTCATATTTCTTGCACCAGTGAAAAGATGAATGAGCAGCAATCGTGACTTCACAAAATGACATTAAGGACTCAACCCCATATACAGTCTATGACTCAACCAAAACAACTTCTGAATAAAGTCTCTGTCCAGTTGAAGGCTAACACCCATTTGACAGATCAGATCTACATTGTGTTGACAGAAAACATCCTGGACAACAGAACTTCTCCTGTGTAATGACAAAACACCACTTTTTAGATTTTTCATGGAATTTCCCAATTTTTTAAGACACACAGAACTTAAGGTCTTTCCTTAAAATCAGAGTTGTTTGACTTTAGATCGGCTGGATGAATAAATACAGTTTAATGGTTCTTATCTAAATTAGGATTTTTTAAAATGTATTTACATCCTCGACCTGCTGATGGATAATTTGAAAAAGTTTGCAAAACCATAGAGATACCATGCAGTTTCTTGTTCTGTTATTTTTACTTTTTAATTGAGATAAATGACAGAGAATAAACATTGACCATTCTGGCCTTCAACACAACTGTATCACATGATACAATATAAAACACTCTGATAAAACAAGAGCAAATACAGAGCAAACCAATTGTGCGGTGGGGAGTGGGGGTGCAGATCAGTAATAATTCAATTCACAATTTACGACAGGTGATAAAGGTGGGAGGGGACAGCAGATGTGCAGAAAGTGTCTCTTGAGTTGTGGGTTTGAAAAGGTGGACGGGCTGGACTTTGACCTTTAACCTGCAGGAATTTGAATATTTCCACACATGCATGAGGAGGGCTCAGTTTATAACAGGCTCTTGCGTGGGCCTCTCAGCTGATCATAATTGAAAAGCAAAAAAGCCAAAATAATTTCTGTTAAAACGTTGTTGGCCTGATATTCATCACAGAGAAAGAAAAGGACAGACTCGGTTATGTGGTGGGAATCTTGTGAGCTGACGGAAGAAGCTCAGGACGAAATCCAGATGTTTTGACGCATTTATTGAACCTTGTTTTATGAGGTTGAACAAGTGAATGAGGATGATGTCATCCGGTTCTGACCATTTCATTAGTACAATTTGAAACAAGGTTATTCATCAGGGAACAACATCACATGTACACAAATGAAGACTCTTCCTAGTGCTTCACATTAACAAACATTTACCATTCTCAATTGTGTTTACATTTCCATTTTTTGAAATGTTTGCTATTTATATATTTAAGCTTGCACTAAACACACCACAGCAAATCCCTTGTGTGTAAACCTATTTGACAATAAATTCTCATTCTGATTCCATGGAGGTCCGTGGTACATCAGCTGGTCCTTGAAAAGTTTCCAGATTCATACATTATGATGATCATTAAGGGAAAGGAATCAATTGGCAGAAACTGAATATAAAATAATCCTATTGAAGTGTGACTCGTCTAAATTGTACAACTTGTTGTTTTCTTTACCCTAGAATGGGCCCTTTATATTGAAATACTTTATATTTACATCAGGAGCAGGTCCTCTTTACGGAGGTCGCCATGTATTTTACATTAGTCCAGACTGGACAAACTAAACACCTTTTGAGTTTTTATGATGCTAACCCTAACCCAACTGAAGGTTTCTAGAGGTTCTCTTTCATGTTTGGCAACTTCACTACTAGATGTCACTGAACCTTTAAAGGGATTGACACTCATTATCTACTCACCACTATGCCAATGAAGTGTTCTAGTCCACAAAACACTTTTGGAGTTTCAGGGGTTCCCGCGGTTTGTCATTCCCACATGCACAGGAGACACAAATCCACCATATTATTCAAGCGAGAGGTGGAGCAGGCACTCTGACACTTGCGTTCACACATGCACCTTCTCTGAAGAAAATACGGAGGAACTGCAGAGTCCAGTGATATGACAGATTAAAACATAACCCCCAGGGTAGAGGTAATAACACTTAAGGTTTTATAGCTTGATTTTATAACACAGGCTCACTCTATGCTCCAATCTGACATAGACAATATTTTACTTCAAGGGTGAAAAATTCTAACAAATGTGCAGTTGTGCAATTGATTATGCAGATAGAAATAAAGCACAATAAACCTGGGGCTTTTGCGGCCAAAAAAACAGTTGGGCAGTGAATCCAGTCTTGGAGCATTCCACAAAGAAAAACTGTTTTGGCCCACATATCACATGGACAGTCCAATCCTGTTTGCCAGATCTGGGCCACAAGAAAACTATAGCAATACTGACATGTCAACCAAATATGCCAAAGGTGGCCCTCATTGTTATGTGCTATTTGAGCTTCACGTTCATATTACACCGTCAAATGTTTTCAAAAAAGACCCACATTTGTCTGGGGATTTTTGGGCCACATTTGGTATTTTACAAGTAGGCAAATTAAAGGTTCAGTGTATAGAATTTAGTGACATCTAGTGGTGGTGTTGCATGTTGCACCTGAATACCCCTCTCCATCCAGACATGAAGAGAACCTGTGGTAGCCTTCAGTTGCATAAAAACTGAAAAGGTGTTTTTACTTTGTCCAGTTTGGACGACAGTAAAAACAATGGCGGCCTCCATAAAGAGAAAACCATAGTTCATACAATTTAGATGTGACACACTCGTGAAAACAACTAGGATTGTTTTATATTCAGTTTCTGCCAACAGATTCCATTCACCTAAATCTCACACACCAAATCTTTCAAGCTCACATCCGTTTTGTCCGTGCTACAAGAAGGCCAGATGTGCTGCATCATTGGCTGAAGTGCCACATCTGTATGCTATCTGAGATTGCACCTCTTTTTTTTTTTTTACTTTCCTCCTCAAACTTTGCTTCTTGCATTGACATACAAGTGTTTCAAGGTGGCAGTCGCTTGTTTCACACACACGGGTTGGATAAAGTCAAATACTTAAAACAGCAATGTAGGTGACATAAAATTCCATTACACAACCTGTTATGATTAGTGTTTTTTGCGTGTAAGTTTTTGTACAGCCTCCAAAAACTTCATATTTATATATACATTAAAAAAAACACACGCACACATTGAATTGTATAATGTGGTTCTGTTTGATTGCATTGCTCTGTATTCCAGTGGCTGCACTCAGGGGGTTCAGGAGAAGCCTGGTTCTCGGTAAAGTCAACTTCACTACGTCCTTTCCTTAGTTATGAAACTTTGCAGTTCAGGTTTTGTAACCGAGGCGCTCTGACCAATCACAGCGCGACTCTGTGAGCACATGACCGAGCTTTTTATGTAACTGTCTGTGTCCGGTCGCTTCACTGACATGGACCCGGTCAGTTCTGGAGATGTGTCCCCGGGATGGTGAGCAGACAATCCTGTAGTTTGTAATTCTCATCCACGCTTCTATAATGTCGCTCCAGCCGCAGGTGGAGGACGCAGCGGAGGAGCGGAGCGCCTTCTTCATCGGCGCTGAGTCGGAGCCCGTCTCGGCGGCGGAGGAGGAAGAGGACCAGGACCACCATCAACTTATTCTCCAGAAAGCCAACGCGCTGGCGTCGGAGAACAACCTGAAAGAAGCCATCGACTGGTTCTCTGCGGCCATGCGCTACAGCCCCGTGCGGCCCGAGCAGCTCAGCACCTTCGTGGACTGTATCCTCCGCAACTTCAAGAGGAAAGTGACGGAGGCGGCGGCGGGCCGGGTCCGAGACAGGCGCGGGGCGGACTCCGACGTCCTCTTGTTCGACTGCCCGAACTGCCACGGCTTCCTGGGGGAGCCGCTAACCTTGGCGTGTGGACACTCGTACTGTAAAAGGTGCTTACAGCGGCGGCTGCTCTCGCAATGTCGGCTGTGCAGCGAGGCTGTGGGCGGCGAGGAGAGGGCTAACGTGGTTCTGTGCGGACTCCTGGAGAAATGGTTCCCCTCCGAAGCGAGGACGTCAAAGACACTCGGCGACGTGGACGAGCTGTGTCGGAGGAAACACTTCCAGGAGGCCGCCACGTTAGCGAGCGATGTGATCCACCGCGGTGAGTGTGGGGAACCCAGCATCCATGTTGTGTTGACTAGCCGTGTGTGCGGCGCCGCCGCCGGAGGGTCACGGCTTGTATTGAGACGCCATTAACCCCCCGCGTGTTTAACCAACATGCACCTGCTTCACCACGGTGATCTGTGTGTGGGTGTGTGTGTGTGATCTGTGTGTTTTGTTGTGGCTGAAGCTCGAGCTTCCCTGAGCAACATTTTGAAAAGTGGAACACGCTCCATGTGTTGTTCAGTTGTCAGGCTCCGCCCACTGACTGTGGCGTAACACGCCAGCTCCAGCTTACGAAAGTTCACCGGCTGCGCATGCGCGGTGCGTGCAGGTTGCGTAAGGCAGGTCGTGACACGCGTTCTGTCATTGTTGGATGAAGTCCACTGTATTCGATTATAGTTATGGCAGCTGAAAGTTTCAAGTATTCAAACCGGGGGTGAGTGCAGCAGTCGTGGGTCAAGTTAGAGGCCAGTGGGGGGATGGTGGTCCACACAATGAACCTGCTGCAGGCAGAAAAACATAGTCTGATATTATGCAAGAGAAACTCACTGCACTTCTTCTATTGTTGGACATGTTTAGATAATCATCTTGCATTCAGGAAGTTGGTTCCTGGAAGGGTTGCTGGTTCAATTCCAAACAGTACTTGCAAAAAGTTTGCATAGGTGAAGTGAATTAGATGACAGACCTGGAATAATTCATCCAGTCAATCGATTTCACTATTGACAAACTACCAAGTGGCAAATGTTTTAAATTCAATTTAATTATGGAGCATACATGTCACACAGTAGGAGGTCTTATCTCAAATGTGAATACTTGTTGTTTTTTATATGTCATAAAAGGCTGTAAAGCTGAAACTGCTGATTCATTGATAAATCACTAGACTGAAGAATTAAAAAGGATATTTTGAGATGTCCCCCTCAGCTCAGTTCAATGTTAAGACATTTTCTGTTTTTCATTGACTTACATGTTAATTGATCAGATGTAAAATATTCAGATAATTAACGATAACAATAGCAATTATAAGTCACTGCCCTCTATATAAACATATATTTATAAAATAAAGAATCTCAAGATATCTGTAAGACCTGAGTTTAGTGTGACAGTTGTTTTTACTTCTTTGCTTTTGAAGAGCCCTCAAGGAATCATGAATTCTAAACACAATCTAAAATAGTGTCATGCATTGTGGGTAAAGCACTGCCCTGCAATAGAAGTCATACATAAAAATTAAAAAAAAATGAAAACCATAAAATCCATAATTGCTCTTAACTAAACAGGATGAAGCCATAGAGCCTTTCCGTATCCACTCATTCCTTTGCAGCTGTCATGTGGGTATTGCTAGTTTTAAATGCCATATTGATCTATCGTGTGGATTGAGATCCTCTTTGTACGAGTTTAAAAAAGTCAGACGCTGGTCTGGCCCTAAAGCCTGAAAGTATAGCTGTGGACCTTCACCCTGGTTATGAGAGCTCATGGAAAACTCCATTGTATTTGGGTCAAGTGATATAATGCGTTGACCTCTGTTACTCAAACATAGTCTGCGGGGATAGTTAGTGAAAGACTTACAGGCGTAAGCAAGTTATTACAAGTAAAGTTTTACTGCTTAAAATCTCTTAGATGTCAATGTGTGTATATATATATATATATATATATATGTGTGTGTTTGTGTGTGTGTATGTATCCTGTTTTCCTTCATCAACACACACATGCCATATGATAATAACTGGTCTGGTCATTTTCTGAGAAGGACTCACTCGACTGATTCCACTGTGGGAGTGACGCACTCATACCACCTGCGTCTGACAGCTCTGGCCCTCAGTCTTGTTGCACATCTTTATAGAAGCTGGACAGTAATGCCCAGATATTCAGAGTCACGTAATTGATGTTAAGATCACAAGTCCAGCTACCTTTGCATATTAGCATCTGCCATACATTAGACAATTGAGCCGAATTCCACGTCTCAATGATAAGTAATGCATTACAGGGATTGATGGCATGTCGTGCAGAAATATGAAGAAAATTTGAACTGACTGAACTTATGATGAAATGCAGACAAACCTGGTGCATAAACAGAATTCATCAGTCAACGATGTTTGTAGTAAAGTCTGCTTCAAAAGGTTGGGTATTTAGGTGAACACCAAATGTCTGTACTGCAGCTCAAGGAATATATGGTCATGTTAATAGTCACACACTCGTAAATATTTTGTAACTTTGACTTTTAAAGGTGCTTAAAGTGTAGGTCTTAGGTCTTATAATGTTTGTTGTCATCCAACATGGCAGCTGTGCCACAAAACGAACGCTGCTACCATCAACACGAAGCAGAGGTCTGTGTGTACAAAGCTTCATTTTGTGTATTTTAACAGGGTTTGAGACTCTTGTGTTGCTTTTTACATCAGCCCACTACGGGGAAGAGATGTGTCAAACCCACGGATATCTTGTGGCTCTTTCAGGCTTATGCAACTCATTTTCATTTGTATTGTTTGCAGAGAGTTGAGTAACACAGTTAATATTTATTTGTTGTTGTGGTTTTGCAGTAAATTATAGGTATTTGAAGCTTTCTGTAAAAAAACACCTATTCACGCAAATAGAAAAAGATTGCGGATTTACTCATTAAATTATTGATTGTCCTCTTCCCCTCTCGTCTCATGTCTTTTGCAGATCCAGATTCCACAGTGGTGGCGCGGTTGTCTCGAGCGGAAGCATACATGGCTCTCAAACAGTATCGCCTTGCTTTGGAGGACACAGAATTTTGTCCCGAGTCCAGCTGTTCTGCTGAAGTAAGTCACTGATATTGCAGTTATTAATCACACTGTTGTTAAAATGGGAAAAAGTTTTACCATACATTCCAAACATCAGTACAGACCAAGGTTCCAGACCAGATTTCTCCTCAACCTAGCATTGAATCAGGGTTATTTTGGCCCTATATTCCTGCAGTTTGAGCCCAGCTTATGTCTGGCTGTGGTTCAGATACTCTCGTAAACTGTATGTCAGACAGCGACTCATCTGTGTTATTAAATCTTGGTTTAAGCAGTGTTGTATGCTTTTTGGCTCACTGACCCTGATGAGTTTTACTCCTGAGTAATCGATATTGCATGACAAGGCATTTTCAACACTTTCTATGCACCTTGGTTGGTGCCTCCTTCTGCTAAAAGACGAGTAGACAAGGTGATTGAGTGAAGGAGCTGGGATCAGCCCCCTGGCGGTGTGAGAGGAGAAACAGAAATATGTTGTGTGCCTGAAGACTGGGAGTCAGTTGAGCTGAGGTCACAGTGACAGGGCCAGAGGAGCCAGAGTCAACACTGTCAACAAAATCAAAGTTGAACTCTAACAACTTTGATGTTTTAATAAGATATCAAGCATTGACTTCCACAGATATTACTTATCTGGTACAAAAGATTATCTTGCATCTTAGAGGTGAAGAGTGAGCATTTTTGCCTTTTATTTAAACAGCCAATGGGTGCAAATTTGAAAAAGAATTTGCTATTAAAACAAATACATACTACTAATAGTTACCTACTATGCCACAAACACAAAGTGCATTGTAGAAATAAAGTAAATAAAATAAATATAGTTAATAAATCAGAATCTTAAAATCCATCTTCTCAGACATGAACATGATCCACTCCTTCCATCAGGACGATCCGTCATGGAATTACATAAACTGTCAGTGGAATCTGTCCTGTGACTGCCTGTGTTGACACTAGCACCATTTAGTAGACAGTTATATAAGTAACATACAGTAGATTCATGTTGACAACATTGCATTCACATAGAACAACATAACACTTTACTGCAATTTATGACGAGACCGTGTCGGATTCAATCCCTCATGTTTTATGTAATAATCTCGGAATCATCGTTGTATAAAGAAGTGTGTATAATCGCATCAGATGTCTGTAGTTTTCTCTTGATAAAAAGTGTGTACAAATGTTTTTACCTGATGTTATGCCTCCACTGTGGTCCAGCTGTGGTAATTTAGGACAGCTGCCCTCAGAGCCTCAGACAGGGTTCATTTATCAGTGTAGAATGAAAACTACAATTTAACTCTGGGTGCATGACTGGGTTGTTGATTTAAAAGCCAAGAATATTTTTGTGGTGATCCTGTTTGTTTGTGTACTAGTAGAGGTTCTTTCCGGTTTCATCAGTGTGTTATCTAGTCTGATTTAATGTAAACTGACTGGACCAACACTTTGAAAGATCGGATTAAAAAGTAACCTACATCAGCAATCTGCCTTCAAGGACTTTCAATTTGCATTGGATAAGTGATAAGTTATATGGCAATGTGATATATACAAATAAGTAAATACTGTGTTATGTCTTCATGAGACCAGCAACATTTAATTTCATTATATTTATTCAATTCATTCTTTGAAAACTTTAACTGTGTTATTACAATAACACGTGGGATTTTATATTATATTAGACAGAGTTGACTTGTTGTGAGAAGAGTATCATTACATAAGACCCTTTTCTGGACAACAACTGAGAAAGGAGGGATTAAGGTCAACTTCCACACATCTTTAAAAAGTTGAATATAGGTTCTGTTTGGCTGTTTGAAACAGTGAAGTATAAAAATAGTGAGTGAAACCTCAATCTAATAATAATGTTTCTTCACAAGTAAAACTGATCTTTTTCCATTGCTGTTTTCTGCCCTGACAGGCTCTGTATAGAAAAGCTATGGTGCTGCATGAGATGGGCCAAGTGGACGAGTCTCTCCAAGTCTTCCTCCACTGCCTGTCTGTGGACGAGGACTTCCCCTGTGCTAAAAGACAAGTGGAAAAGGTGAGAGAACTGACGAGCCGTGATCAGTGTGGGACGGGAAACAGACAAAATATATTGTGGTTCTCAAGAGTGGCAGTCAGTTGAGCTGTGGTCACACAGTGTTGGTGTAAGGAGGCTGGAGGAGCTAGACTCAAAAACAGTGAGAGGCAGAGACTGAAGTGGAACTGTTTTAGGTTCTGATCAAATCGGACGAGCATTTATCAATTTAACATTTTAGAAACACATTGACTGTAAAGTAGTCATGCACTATGCTACATATAAGAAGGTACATATGGAAAGTATATAAATAGGTGTGCTTTGAATAACAGAAATTATAGTTTGTGAATCCACCTTGTTAGACATGGACATCCTCCATTCTTTCCATCAGAAGGATCTGTCATGGAATCACACAAGCTGTCAGCTGACTCAGTCCTGTGACTGCCTGTAATGACTTAAGCAACATTCAATAGACAAACCGAAACATCACAGTGACAGTAACTTCAAACTTTATAGTTGCTTCAGTTACAGTTATGTCTGCCATACTACATGCTCCCTCAGAAAAACACAATGTTCGCATACGTTTTGTGATCAAACCATGTTGCATTCAAATTCCAATGCAGCTCAATCTTTGCGTAATCATCTCTGAGTCATCATTGAATAAGGAAACCTTCAAAATCACATTAGTCATCTTTAATTTTCTCTTAATAAAAAGTATGAAATTGATGGTATTTCCCTTTAATCAGTAAGGGCATCAAGATATTCCAATCTGCCTAACATGCATCCCCTCACATGACAGAGACAGTTTGTTGCCTCTGCAGAGAAATGTTCTCTCTCACCTTGATCAGCCAAGGTGCAAGCAAACCTGTTTTTTAATTATTTCATCATATGTTACGGCAAAAACGCCCATGATTTCTTAAGAGACTGAATATAATCCCTTTGAACCATGTGCCTGGTCCATTTTTCTGCTTAAGCAGTGAAAGTTGAATTGAACCCGCCTTAATGCATCTGTGTCATATACTTAAAACCGCTACATTGGAACTTGCTGTGTTTTCTGTCCTTTTTCTCATTCTCACAAATGCAGTTACACAATGTATCTCAGGAATGCATGGAGGGAGTTTCTCAAGATTTGGTGCAAAGGTTCACTTGAACTGATCAGATTTGCAATCTTGTGACTGTGATATATCAGAAATGATTGGTGGGAATTTCATTACATTGCGCACAATCGTCCACTTGGACATAAATTAACAGAGCAATGGAAGTTGTTGGTCAGTGGTCAAGTTCACCGCTACCTTGGCCGTAACAAAATGTACCTGTTTTTAGAGTAAATTCCTCAAAGTCTTCACTGCTCCATGTATGAGTCTGGAGGGTGGGTGGAGGCATACAACCTCGAGGTGGTAATTCTAGTTATTAGTCAACCTTATTTTCTGATCCTGAGAGAGTGACACTGTGTGGGAGCTAGACAGCGCTCATTAATAAAACATCAAATCAAGTTTGTGCAGCCTGTAATGTCTTGAAGAACTCCCCTGTTCCCATGTAATGAAAAGCAATGAAAGCAGGTATTAATGAAAATGAAATGCCTCCAATGAGAATCAGAATCTTAGCAGTAAAGTGAGACCTTTGTCAAAGCTTTTTATATTTTATCAAATAAAACACGTTTTGTGTCTCTGAAAAAAAACCATGAATATGTGAAAACATGAGATGTTTGTACAAAGCAGTAGCACCTTATCATTTAGTGTTGTGGCTATGTGGTTTGCACTTCATCCATTAGATTACCACAGAACTCTATGATTGTTAAGGTAAAATATGCCAAATATGGACACCAGTGTGTTTGCACCAGCTGAATGACCTGATACTCACCTAAGCCCTGAGGACATTTCATTTCTACATCAGAATTGCATGACCCTGAATTCCGATGAAACTTTGGGGGCTCAGCAGCTCTGCTCTGACTAACTGAGGTGTTATTTTTATTTTTTACAGATCTTGTGTGACCTTCTCTCCCCCGCTGATGAGAACGTCAAGGTTGGTCTAAGGGAAACCGCGCACAACACATCGCCTCATCTGCGCAGTAAAACCCTCATGTCTGATGCTCAAGCTCAGCCACAGAGCCCAGTCCAAAGACGAGACCAGGTCCGCGCTGCCTCTGCACATCTGGACCACCATGAGGACAACCAGGAGGTATTTCAACACTTGATAATAATTCAACAGGTTTCATGAATGGGTTGATTCAGTGCAGTTTTAACAACATCGTTTGACACAGCATCATCATCGGCTGAACCTTGGTTTCTTGTCATCATCTAGAAACGCTGGGAAAGTCTGGAGCGGCCCAACCTGAGCAGAGCTCACTCACTTCGAGTGCACGGCTCCAGCTGTGGGGAAGAGGGTCTGAAGAGAGTTTGTTCCGCCCCTCAGCTTGGGGACCAGGAGAAGGGGAGCCTGCTGAAGAGGAAGTTGTCAGTGTCGGACACAGAACCTCATTTTGTGGACAGTGGAAGTAGCAAGCATAAAAAACAAGGTCAGTTGACAAGCCTCTATTGTAGTACTCTCTTCCTCGTGGATGATATTTCAATTTCCCAAAAAATCAATTGCACCTGAGCTCTAGATCTATTGTTTTAATGGTTAAATGAAGCATGTAAAATGTTCATCTGCGTATACTCCATCACTCTAAATCATTAATTTGGACTCTAATCATATTGAATGATCTTATCAGCACCATATCAATGTCTTTTGTCCATAAAATAAATTCTAAAATGATTTTTCTTCTTGATTGTAGGGGTTGTGAAAGTTTCCAAACAACGTTCTGCCAAATCTAAAACCTGGAGAACTGTTCCCAAGGATCTGCTGGACCCTGTTGACTTAGAGTGTTCTCTCTGCATGAGGTAAGCACACATGCACCATAACATTTTAATACCAGCTTACAGTGCGACACACAATGACCGAACATTCAGTTGATTATTGTATCCATGTGAACACTACAGGTTGTTTTATGAGCCTGTGACGACGCCCTGTGGCCACACCTTCTGTAAAGACTGTCTTGAACGCTGCTTGGACCACACACCTCAGTGTCCTCTCTGTAAAGAGAGTTTGAAAGAGGTAAATGAACAGTCTAAGCAGCTAATGGATACAGATATTCATTCATCTGTTATAAGCAAGAATAAATGTTACTCTTCAGTAACAAATCATTAACCTGGATCCTGTCCTCTGCAGTATCTAGCATGTAGGAAGTACATGGTGACGACAGTCTTGGACAAGTTGATCAAACAGTATTTGAGTCAGGAGTATGCAGAGAGAACCAAGACTCATCTGGAGGAGACCAGAGAGCTTTCTGAGTAAGCAGCCTTTCCTTCACCTCCATTTTTGTCTATTTCAGTCCGATGAAGTGTTCATTGTCACATTTGTCTCTGTAGAGAAGATTCAAAGGGACTCAGTGTGCGTATCTACTTTTTGTCCTCTGTGCAGCCTGACCAAGAATGTGCCTATCTTTGTGTGCACCATGGCGTACCCCACCGTGCCTTGTCCCCTGCATGTCTTCGAGCCACGTTACCGCCTCATGATTCGCCGCTGCATGGAAACGGGCACGCGGCAGTTCGGGATGTGTATTAATGATCCCCAGAAAGGGTAAGCATGCAGGCATTAAGAACAAACCTATCAAAATATATGAATCTACAGCTTGCTTATCACAGTGAGATACAACATCAATAAGAACTGCTAAAACTCAAAACTGTGTTCATTGCTGCAGATTTGTAGATTATGGATGCATGCTGATCATCAGGAGCGTCCATTTCCTGCCTGACGGGCGATCAGTAGTAGATACCATCGGAGGAAAGCGCTTCCGTGTCCTGTCCCGAGGAATGAAGGATGGTTACAGCACAGCGGACATTGAACACTTGGAAGATACAAGGGTAAGAACAACAGCGACTTAAAATATGAAACCACCATTCAAGTCGGTTTCCTTATCACATCGAACTGCCTTTGTTTTTAGTTTCAGCCACTGTGTATGTGACAGGGGTATTAATCGACTTACTCTCGTCTGTCAGGTGCAGGACAGTGAGGTGCTTGGGAAACTTGTAGATCTGCATGATGCAGTGTATGAGCAGGCCCGCGTCTGGTTTCAGAACCTCAAGATCCACTTCCACAACCAGATCCTGCAGCACTTTGGACCCATGCCCGAACGAGAAGCCGATATCCAGGTAAACATTCAGCAGTGTCTATCTCTTCCCATGATGCCAGATTTAACCAATCCCTGCCCAGATTAGCTCACCGGGGTTATCGCTGAAACACGTTTGATCCTCCAAGGAGTTAAATCTTCATTTCACAAATTACTGTATTGTAGCTTCTCAAGTCAACTGTAGTAGTTCTGTAGAAGCTTCAGTCAGAGTCGGTTCATAAGGGCAAAAATTTGTGCTGATATTTGAGCTTGGTTAAGTGGATAGAATACAGGTTGTACCCCTGTTTCAGGGACTTTGTCCTGATAGCAGGCATGGTATGAGTTTGCATCCCTTAGATTCTTTCAGGGAAACATTTATTGCTAAGGATTCATCTTCCACAGTGATTTTAATACCGAAGCACAGTTGTTGTCTGCACTCAGCTCGGAGCCTGTAGCTCTAAATGGGATTGCAGCTCTACCTTTTGACAATATAGGCTAAAGAGCTTTATGGGTCCTTCATACCTAATCCCACCGGGCCTTGTTGCGTCAGAAGAGTGTCATGAAAAGAATTCCCGACTCTTACCACGTGCACATTCACCAGGAACGCAGAGCACTGAACATCAAGGTTTCTTTTGTGCTGTTATGTAATTTCTGTTCTAGAGAGAAATTCTTAAAGGTACTTCTAGTAAACGTGTCTCTTTAAGTGAAATGTAGCTCAGGTATTGTAAACATCATTCACTTCCAATCCTTGTAAGAAAATGTTGTTAGTGGCTCAGGATGTGGATGTTTGTTCAGATGTGTAACTCAGATTCAGGTGTGGCAGGGCTGAGAATATATGTATATATAATATAATACTGTGATGATTAAAATACTATGAACAGTAAATGAAAGCTTAATTCAACCATTGATCGTGTGGCTCATAGTGCTTTAGAGAAGTAACTCACAAGCTGCTTCTGGACTTTGATAACTGCAGGACTTATGAAAAAATCACATTTCACCTGATTCCTGATCAAAGAGCATTTAGTTTGAAACCACGTCAGGAATAAATGGATTTCATTAAAGCTCTAATATTACAGCAGACCAGCAGCTGTGAGATCAGAGTGTATTGATTGCACTTGGTATCATTTAGATTCAATCAATACGTTGGAAGTCCAGGGAACTGTTCCCCACCCTGTGCTGCCTGATACAAATGTTTTTGCACTTTATTTGTTTTTTGGGGTGTTGTGAGAGCATGAAACATTTTTTCCAAGTAGAATATTTCAATACTCTACAATTAATCAGTTGTCCCTTCACCATACCTGGACTTTGCATATGATCTGATACCAGTGCATTTAAAAATACAACTCCTAATGTTTTTTAATAATTACATGCTACAATCCCTGTATGGAGGTGGAAATTGTTATCTTTGGTATATGGTTTATTGCTTGTGTTGTATTTGGCAACACTGGTGCAACCCCTGGAAAATACAGTCTTGTATATTGTGCTCATCAGTGCTTGACTTTTTTTTCATAAATATTAACAAGCGTTAGCTCGCTCTGGCTAACGCTACACCGGCAGAAAGACTACCACTTCTTTTCTAAAGACTATACTTGTTGGTATCACTATCAGTACCTCTGTATGTAGATGTACATAGTTTGGAAAATAGAAAATAAACATCATGGGTTCTTAAAAAAGTGTTTCTTGTGAAATAATGAATCTTATACTTCTCCTCTACCCCTCAAGGCAACTCCCAACGGTCCGGCTTGCTGCTGGTGGCTGCTGGCCGTCCTGCCCATCGACCCGCGATACCAACTCTCTGTCCTCTCCATGACGAGCCTCAAAGAGCGCCTGGTGAAGATCCAGCACATCCTGACATATCTACAGAGCATCCCCAACAACTAGAGCTTCCTCCTCTCGCCACCAGTAAAACATCCATTGGACTATTTAACAACCTTTAAGCAATCTTGTGTCAGCACTTCACCGACAGCTTCCGCAGCTCATCTGATCCCTCAAAACTTTTATTTCTGCAGCTATAACCCCCCCATTTTACTCTTGTTTGTATTAATCTCACACAAGATTAAGAGCAAAACTGAAGCATCCTTGAACTGTGGATCATTGAAATCAGAGAAATGACCAAACTACCTCAGGGACACTTTGAAAGGTCTGCAATTGTCAAAAATAAGTTAAAACTTACAAGAAACCAACTTATCTACTGAAAAATCAGTTACTACTCCACTCAGTTAATATTTGAAGTAGTTTATGAGAGTGTAGCTCCATTAGGGAATTCACTGAGGTTGTTTCTTCTCTGGTGAGAACAGTGTAAAGGAAGTTTCTTTTAAGTTCATATGGAGAAGGGATGAGCTGAATCTGTGGAACAAAATCATAAATGCTGGAAGTCCAAAAAGTGATAGCGAGTTAGGAGGAACCAGTGAGAACTTGCACAACACAAAGTCAACCTACAGGCTGGTGTATTTGTCCCAACACAAGATAAAAGTATTATACATAATCTTCAGAGCATCAAGTTTTCTTCTTTATTCACATCTTTCACATTCATCCACTGCTGCCTTTACGAATTGGCTTGGGACCTTTCTGTTGAAAGAACGACACTCTGTGTTTCTTCCATCGTTTTTCCAATTTGAGTTTCTTCCAAGGTATCATGGTGACATTGGCCATTTTGCGCCTCCTTCCCTGATGTGATTTCTGGACGGACAGTCACGATCCTGAAATCTCATCTTGGTGCTTTTTTTTTTCTTCTCACAGCTAACTTGAAGACAGAAGCTCTTTCTTCCAATTGATGTGTGTGTCATGGAGCTTAGAAAGATCCTGTTGGAGTGTGAGAGTTTGCAATGAAAGTTTAATAGAGTTTAGTCGTTCTGTTGTGTATAATTTGTCTCCTCTCAAAATTACAAAGATTATTTTCCCTTTGAATTAACTTATAAGTTGAGATGCATCTAGACCATGTGTTTTTATGAGAAGTTCTATAACAAATCAACTATAAAATAAGACAAAAACCACATGTAGACCACCAATAGTTTGACTTTACTCTTCATTCAAAGCTGCTCTGTCTGCCCGGAGGAGAAAGCCTGCAGTAATGCAGTCGGGGGGGACTGTGTTTGCCTTAAAACATTCTGCATTGTGTGCATTGGCTTGGTTACCATTCCTTTTTGCCATAGTATGTTTAAATTGTATTTCATTTCCCCCCCTCTCCTTGAGTTTGAGGCAGTATGTGTTCACAATGTGTATAAAGAAAAAAAGAAAATTAAGGTCAAGGCTGTTGTATGTATATCATTTGTTAAAAAAAGCTTTTTGGATAGATCTTGCTTTTTTGCTCAGATGTTTTAAGTTATCGATTTTCAAGAATAAATGCACCTCTTTTTTCAACGTATGCCTCAGTGCTTATTGTTACCTTGGCCAAAGGGGATGCGGTTATATCCCTCTGTTTGTTTGTAAGAAAGAGTACTTAAAAAAAAAAAAAAGAAGCTTGGTGGAAGGATGCAGTATTTATGAGGGAAGAACCTGATACATGTTGGTGTGAATCCTGGACTTAGGGCTTTGTTTTTTACCTTCTTAAACATTGCAAGAGCACTTTTCTAAACATTTTCACTGTTTTCCCAGAGAGTAGATGAAGAAAATCAACATCCATGATTTTATTTAGTGCATAAAAAATTTGGTGCAGCTTTAATGAATACAAGGGGACTGTTATACAGTGAACTCTATTCTAGTTTCACTAATTTGATAATTACAGATGTTGAGCCATGTACACTCACCGGTCACCTGCCTACTCTTACAATCAGCTCATTATTTTTAGCAGTGCAACATAAAGATTCAGGTGAGAAGCTTCAGTTGATGTTCTCATGAAACATCAGAGGAGGTAAAAAATGGGATGATGGTGCCAGGCTGGTTTGAGAATTTCTGAAACTGAAGGATCTCCTGGTATTAGAGTGCTCAGCAGTCTCTAGTCTTTACTCAGAATGACTTGAAAAAATAATAAATTATCCAGTTGTTCTGTGAATACAAATGTCTGGGATAACTGATTACCACTCTTTTCATCTGTAGTGAACCGGGATGAATTTCTGAAAGCACATCACGTGCGAACATTGCGGTGGATGCAGAAAATCACTTCAGGTTCCACTCCCGTCTGCCAATCAGAAATCTGAGGCTGCGACAGGCACAGAGTCACCGGAGCTGGACAGTTAAAAGACTTGGAATAAAACCCATATTGGTCCGATGAATCTTGATCTCTGCTGAGGCTGCAGATGGTTAGGTCAGAATTTGGCTACAACAGCATGAACCTGTACCTCAAATCCACAGTTCAGGCTGCTGCTGGTGTAAATTTGAGTGGAAAGTTTTCTTGGCTGTCGTTCACTGTCTGAATACCACAGCCACTCAGAGTGTTGGTGCTGACTTAGTGCATCCCTCAGTGAACTCAGTTAACAATCTTCTAATGCATAATTCCAGCATAGCAATGCACCAGCGCTGGAGGAAGTACTCAAACATTAACAAATCTACTTGAGTAATAGTCAGGGGCAATTTGGGTTCAGTGTCTTGCTCAAGGACACTTTGGCACACAGAATCAAACCACCGTCCTTCTGGCAAGTGGATGACTCGCTCTACCTCCTGACCCAAAGCCACCCATATAACATGCAATGCAATGCATCGTAAAAAAAAAATATATAGTGTAGCAGAGAGTGCAGATACTTCCTCATATATGTGGCGAAGTAAGAGTGAAAAATATGAATGTACCTCAGTAAAGTACAGATACATGAGTAAATGTACTTTGTTCCATCCCACCACTGTAATGCACCATGTCACAAAGCAAAAGGCGCCTGTCATGTTCTATAAACACGACAGCAGTCAGTCAGTTCACTGCTCTCCAGGGACACGACATCCAGAAGAAAACCTTTGTAGCAGAACAACAAGAGTGCAGCTGACAAATCTGCAGAACTGAAGCAATGCAGCCGTGTTGTGACGAGCCTTTCTGACGGTAGATTGACCTCACCTGGTCTGACTGCACTATATAAGCTGCTGGAACTCAGCCAGTCTCCCTCTCCCTCGTGGCTGCCACAGTGTTTTATTCCTACTTTTAAATCCTTCCTATCTTTAGCTAGAATTCATGTAGTCTTCCCTACTTTGTCCAGCCTTGAGCCTTGTGAAGAAGAAGGTTCTGACATTTTGTGTAATTAATGACGTTAAGAGCTGAGGTTTTCATGAAAGCAGAATTAGACCCTGTAGACTACAGGAGCTTTTTTTACCTCACAGCAACATCTCACCAAATAACTGAAAAAGCAGACAAACAATGATTTATGTTTACAATTAAAAATAACCCAAACAGTTGTAACTGGGGCAGAAAATAGTGACTTCATTTAGATCCTATTGTGAAGGAATTGTTGACCATCCTCACACATTACATCTGTACTCCATTAGGAGAATAGAGCCTGTCACATTCCACACACACTCCCTTCTCTCTCTAAGCAGTACTAGATAAAGGGCCAACCAGTAGTATATTGTAGCTCATGGACTTTCATATCTAATTTAGATGCCCCAGACGGAGAGAGGCACTACCAACTCTTTTTTTCATCAGTAGCAAGACGTAAGGACACAGTGTTATTTAGGAATGCATGCTTAACTGTCCAATAGGATGTGAACACCTACATGTTACTTAGCGGGTGACCGCAATTCTAGCCATTCAGGGTTGTGCTGTTAGAATGAGTGATGCAAGTAGAGGAAGATATACAGGGATGCTGTGGGAGACATCTTCAGACTTGGGGGTGACAATTGCTCATGTTTCTCTGTTAGCGTTTGGATATTGTTCCACCTTCTCGTCTCCTTGATGCATCAAGTCTTAATGAATCTTCTGCATAAGACATCCACTGCTGCCTGAGTCCTCCTTCACCAGCTCCCAGAAAACTTCAATCACACCATCACAAAGAGCAACACGCTGAGTGAGAAATTATGTTTTCAGGGACTTACACCCCATTAATATAAAATATAAATGTAGATACGACCCTAAAGTAAATCACCTGTGGGTGGTAAAAAATAATCCATCTTCACTAGTGTCTGTACATGTCTCAGCCACAGGGAGGCGACAGTGCAGCATGATTGTTAGTCCCAGTGATATGTTTCATAACTCACCCTTTACCCTCTGCACTTACTCAACAACAACTTTTATCATGAAAATATAAACCCATCTCTGTCACTCTATTATACATATATACACACACATATGTTTTACAGTCAGACAGTTTGAATGCAGATAAATCACAACAGCAGGAAGGAGACAGTGGAGACGGATCAGCTGGGGAATCCTGCTCCGTTTGCTCCGTCTTCTTCCGTCAGGGCTCATCGTGCAGAAAGCATCATAACAAACTCTGCAGAGGGAGACAGAGACAGCAGCAGATACACTGATAAGCACTAATGACACTCTAATAATATCGTAGGACAGCACAGGATGCAGCCACATTATTGTCAGGCCTCGTGACGCAGAAGAGGAATCAAACACAGCTTGTGATTTGATGTAATGGTGGAGGTATGAAAAGGAGAACATTTAAATTATGTGTCAGTTTTGTTTTGACTTGTTTCATGCACATGGATTCAACCCATTTTGAGATTTCAGAGGTCAGCCACTCTGAAGAGCTGACTGCAGGGTTCCTTTTGACTCCTGTAAATCTGTAATGCTTTGATTACTGCTTGTTTCAGCTTGATGATGGCATTGTCATGGATTTACTTGTCAATCCGAACAGGTAATGATGCGTCCTGTTGATGAAACCCATGCACAGAAACAGTTTGAGGCCAGTTGTCACTAAATCTTTCCAATCAATCACGTGTTCCCTTTTCTTGTTGTGCTCCTGGGGCGCTTGGCTCTGAAAGACCAAGGTGTGAATCCATCGATTCACCGAGCACCGCGGCCTAATTCCAGATTAACCCACTAACATTATCTCTGGAGGTGCTCCTCTAACCGTTTTTCTATAAAAAGAAGCAGCCCTGTCCTCGTCGGCTGACCTGCCACTGGGAGGTTTTGTCACCGCTCTAGTTCCTGCTTGATTGCCAGGTGCCTTGTAGGTTATTCTGCACATGTGGCTGAAACTGGACAGACGCAACCAAGCGCTGCCCTGGGGGCTAATTGATGACAATGAGGAGCACTTGGTTATCGATCCCCTCTGAGACTGACACGCTGATCATATGTTTATAATAATTGCAATTGACTGGGCCGCTGAGATGAGACAAACAGGATAACACCTCTAAGCCGGGTTTGCTGAAGCCTGTAATCTCACTGACATCCATGTGGTGTTGATGGCGCCTGCACACCGGCATCTAAGGGGGAAGTGTGTTTGATTTTGCACCATTGTATTACTTATTGTGAGGAGACACGTGGCAATGTGATTTCTGCAAAGTCTGTGAACCCAGTGTGTGTGTGTGTGTGTGTGTGTGTGTGTGTAATGTGACAGGTGTCCAGGCATATGTATTGATTGGCTTAATGCACTGCTGATTAGATTGGATTGGCCCGTCTGATCCGCCCACCTTGACTCAACCTCCTCTCTCATCTGACCCTCTGCCTGACTCATGTTTTACTCATTTTCTCCTCCCGATCTCGTTCCTCATCAATTCCTTCTCTGACCTCTCTGCTCTTCTCCTCCTCTGGGTCTCTCTCTCCTCTCCTACACGGCTGTTTTCAAACCTTTGTTGTCCCCTTGGCTTAAAACTCTACTTGTTCTCAATGCCAGTGGAAACTGGATGTTACCCTATGGTACTGGATGCTGTTAAATACCCCCATTGATCTTTATTATTTGTTGGTTTATTTGATAGTAGGATAATGTAAAAATGGATTTCCGTTAAACTTGGTGGAGAGATGGGACCTGGGTCTGGGAACAATCCATCACATTGTGGTCCAGATGCAGATTAAGGGATCCAGGATTTTTGAATGTCAAATTAATAATTTAGGTTAATATACCACTTCCTTTTACATTTCTATTATTAGAACTAGAATATGTGTATGATTGTTTGGCCTTGGTGGAGCGATGTGTTCGACTGAGTGTAAAATACGTCAAACTAGGTTGGTATTTCTTCAATGTTATTTTCATATATTTAAATTACCCATTTTTTGAAGGCCTTGGTTGGATTTTTGCAAATTTCCAGTCTTATATCAAATATCCTCATTGAAAAATATAGGTTCCGAACCGAATAAACCAGTTTATTTAAAGGAGACATATTATACTCACATTCAGCCTCATGATTTTGATTAGTGTTATTACTTGAAACTGTTGACATGCTCTGGGAACACATCACTCCCCTCGAACTGTCCATTGCTGCTGTGTCTCCTTTCAGCCTCTGTCTGAAACGTTTGGTTTTAGCTCCTGTGTCTTTAAAGCCTCTTCTCTTTATAAAGCCCAGTTTGCTCGGATTGGTCAACTCCAGCATGTGTAAGAAATGTCGGCCTGTCACTTTAACTTTGTTTAGGGGGCGTGCCAGACTAGCCGCTGGACGTGCATTATGCAAAGTTACATAATATCCAAATGTGCACATTTCCCTGGAAGTATCGACTGGACAACTGACGAGACGCTTCAGGAACAGAGACATCACAGACTTAAACCTTTTTTTTGCAGACTTTGCACATATAAAAGACAAACAGACCAGAGGACAGAGAAAAACTGAAAAAGCATCTTATATCTCCATTAATGAAACATTTAATTGCCCACTCCTTCCACAGAGTCTACCCCCCCCGACACGTTTCCGACCCCAGGTCCCAAACTACTCACCATCAAAGTCAATGTTGCCGTCTTTGTTGAGGTCAATGTCGCCGAGGATCTCTTCCAGCTCACCTTTCTTCAGCTTCTCCCCCAGCAGGGTCTTCATGCCCTCCTTCAGCTCGTCACACGTGATCTTTCCGTCGCCATCACAGTCAAACTGCAATGTGTCGGGAGCAGGGGGGGGGGGGGGGGATCAAAGGTGAAGAAAATTATACGTGACACAAGGACAATACAATGTCTTCGGATCAATACGGAGCGGACACTCTGAATTCAGGATGATTGAGGCGAAAGAATGTTGGAGATGGAAAAAAAAGAGGGAGAGAAGGGAGGAGACAACAGAACACTTCAAACTCAAAGTAGTTTCACATTTATACAGTGTAGTTAACATGTTTGCACAAGGAAGCTGGAAGTCTGAAAACAGCTTGAGTCTGCAGATAGGCCCTCACAGCGTGTTAGTGCTGAAGGGGAAGACTCTTGAAGTGACTGTGGGGCTGAGATGAGAAATATGTTTTTTTTTGATCAGCTCTGAAGTTTCTCATCACAAGTAGTGGAGTTATCTGTGATTCATTATTCCTTATGTAAGAATCCAAACACCAGAGTAGGTGAATTTCTGGCCTTTCACAGCATCACACAGGAAATGATGATGACGCATGTGTGAAGGACAAACTAGATTCTGAAAAGAGAGACCAACCTTTAAAAAAGTCTTTATGCAGGTTAATGGTTCTTTTTGTATTTTGCTTTAATACATTCATCAGGTCGTCAAGTTCAGAGAGAGATTAGTGGTGATTACAGAGGTGACTGTAACACAAGTGCAGCACAGGATTAGACATAATTAGCTTTAGAGCTCCAACCAGTGGAATGTTCAGTTAAGTTTAGTTTAGTTCAGAGGCCATGCACAAACACTGTAGTTAAAGATGTACTAAATGACAGCTCTCAAGCTCTCAAGTGTCTCAATCGCTGCCTGCTGGCTCGTTACAGTTTAGGCCATGAACCCCACCTCCTGTATGTTAGTGGATGGGACACGGACCAAACTGAAAAGTCATGTCAAATGCATTTTTCACAAAGATGGTTTCTGTCATTGAAGGTAGGAATTATCCCACTGATGTTTGTCCAATTGTTTATTTTTCAAGTAAGTTTGGTTTTAGTTAGTTATTTGCTGATCAGACTTGTGATTGGTTGAGCGTGTATCAATGGGACCTCCATCTAGAGTGGCTCCATCCCTTAATCGCTATTGTGCAGACTCTGGCTCACACTGAGCAAAATGGCACTGTTTGTATCTGCGATATTTTAACTTCATTTCTGGATATTGGGAGAAAGTGGAGAGGCGTCGTTAGATTTCTTTTACGGTCTGTTCATGCACATCTAAACTGTTTGGCCAGAGTTAGCTTTATAGCTAATTAGCATCTGCAAACCCTGGGGGAGGAAAATATAAAAGACAATATGGTGCAATAAAATTATACAACAATTAAATTATCAACTGTTGATTGTGTGATGGTTGAAAATTGTGGTTGATGTACATTGTGCATGCTATAACTGATACAAGAAAAAAAGTAATTTCAATATCTGCAATAGCTCTTATGATAAAAATAACTTCACTTGCGCACCTGAGGTCCAAATCCACACATCCTGCTTTTCATGGGAGCTGAAAAATTGTCAAACTAAATGCACAAAGTTGTAACATAGATCAAATAATGTGCACTCGATTGTGTTTTGAGGTGATCATTAGGAAAAGTCTTTTGTTTGTGGCAGCCATTGAAAACCTATCATGCTGTAATGTGTTAAATAAGTGAGCCCAGGTGTGTGAAGCCAAAGCTTATAAATAACATCATCACCACAGTTGTTTAGAGAAAGCACACCCGGGCCCGGCTCTGGGGAATAATCAAATCACTTCGTGTACCTGCCTCTGTACTGACGTCAAAGAGAGAAACTCAATAGATAATTCCTCCAAACCAATGAGGCAACACACAATTTCATAGAAAGTGGACACAGCCAATGAGCAGAACATTTAAAAGTAGTATATAAATGTCGACTCTTTAGCTTGCAGGAAGCAGCCTAAATAAAACCCTCATCAATATTAAACCTTTAACCCTGTTAAAACTTTTCTTTTGCATTTTTTCTTAGCAAGCTTTCCTCCCTCAGACTTGTTTACAAGTAAGGGCCATACACTTGTGGCATCCTCAGAGGAAAGGCCCTGTAGCACACTTCAAAGTCCTGTCATGGCACCAGGCCGCAGCCTCCTCACTTGAAGTTAGAGTTTTTGTAGCTGGGGACCTGGTACCTGTTTGAAGGCACAGCGCAGCTCCTTCATTCCGACCATGTGAGCCGTCTCGGCCAACATCCTTGGGCCCATCAGCGAGCAGAAGTCATCAAAGTCCACGTGTCCTCCCCCTGCAGGAAGACACACAAGTGGATGCTGACGCACTCTGTGTTTGCAGTCTGTCCACATGCAGTAGACATGGTACAACATTAACATTAAGAAAGTGTTCACTCTCTCTGTGTGGAGTCTCCTAGGAAAAGATCTGGCTCTCTGACAGCTGAATACTCCACTGTGCTCCCCTGCAAGCTCACTAGCCTAGTGAATTAAACAGGGCAGATTTTGCTCTATGCGCTATAAAACCTGAGCTTTTTCTCTGCAAACTGTCTCCTGCTGTGGAAACTATGGTTATTAGAGCACAGACATTGAACCAAAACAATTGATTTGTGGCTTTAAAACTAAAACAGTTCTGCAGAGCTGATAGGAAATTACTTTTGATTTGAGCCACTGTAAATAAAACTGAGAATATTTATTTGAACAACGTTTAGAGCAGCTTCTTAGAGCAGCTGTGAATGAAACAAACTATCAATGTTAGTTCATATTCAGCCTCTCTCTTCCACCTCATTACACATTGGAACGTTTGAAACCTAAGTAAAAGTAAAAGTATTCAGAGCAAGTGGAAGTACTCGTTAGGAAGAATGGTTGTGTTGTAAATAACTCTTTGAATAAAATAACCTGTAAGCTTCAAATTCCTTGCCTTCACATTTCAGTCAATAAGAGGATCATACATTTCAGCACACTGAGGTAATCAGAGAGAAATAAACTATTTCAGTTACATACATCGTTGAGGCTCCTATTACTCAGTGTTAGATATGTATACGTATTCGTGCACGTCCTCTGACGGTCTGTGGATATGGTCGAAACAGACGAAATGGAGCATTACCACTGGAAAGCATTGGGATTAGTTCAAGCAAGACGACCATAAGACACAAAGAAGAAAATCCAACATGAAAGAGCTTTTTGAGGAGAGACTTTGCAGTTTGTTTAGAAACCACAGGTGTTTATATGATGCTTGTCTTCTTTCTAAAGAAGTTCATTATCACAACCTCCTCCACCATTGCTATGTTTGTTGTTGTCAGAAAATCTTTACTCTGTGCTGCCCCCTAGTGGATGTATTGATTATCCACCACGGCAGGACACATAGACGTGACAGTGACGGTTACATCGCTTGAAGCTGACTTATCTCTTTACATCATAAGGGCAGCATATATATTAAGTAAAATTACACTCTCTAATTAAAAGTATGGAGTTGAAGGTATAACCCTTGGAATGTGGAAATATGGAAACAGTACCTGAAAACTCTGATTTTTCTTGACTCAATTCTTACGTATAAAAAGTTTCTGAATGTCCTCAGTGCCTGAAGCTACAATGTGTGTTCACTGTGCTTCCTTTAACCCAGTCAGAAGCAGTTGTGTTATGTTTGATCGCCATGGTAATTATCAAAACAGACTGATACAATGGGAAGGCTCATGTTATTAGTTTGACAAAAGGCTGGCTTATTTGATTCTGTGTACACCAATAAGCTGGGTCTGTTTTCATTATCTGGGCCTCGGTGGATGAGAAAGACGACGCAGTAGTCATGTGGCTCAATAAACGTAATCAGTACTCTGAGAATCAGGACTCTTGAGAATGAGAATCAAACTGTGGCCAACTCTGCTGAAATTAATGACTTAAACCATCATCTAGTTACAATGGCAGCTGAATCATTCTGAAATAAGAGGTTCTGTTCTGAAGGATTTTCATACTTGACTCGAGTTAAGGTATATATGGTTTATTTTGGCTGAAAGGCTTTATCCTTGTGGAGCAGTGGTCTGTGGGGGATTCCTGACAACTCCTTGAAGAATTTCTGTGCCTTAAGTGGGTCACTTCATAATCACGGAGAAGAGAAATTCTCCCAAAAGTCTGAGCAGATTATTATTATTTCCTAATTGAAAGTGTGATGCTGGTTATGGAATGAAAGTCGGAATTTCATGGTATTAATGGCTCTATGGGGATTACACCAGAGAGATTAAGAAAGGAGTATCTAAAGCCCATGACACCTTATTGGTCAAATTAAGGCATCAGTGAACAGATAAATAATTCATATTTCACATGAGCATAAAAATAGCATCAATTATGAATTGTACTTATAACTAACAATTCTCTTATAGTTTCCCTTTAAGTGTTTGAAGCACCACATGTTTGGCAAAGAAGGGTCTCTCAATCAGAACAATAACAAAAGTTGTGAAGCAGCGTGGGATCGTGGGAGTTGTCAGGCACAAATCCTGTTTAAGTTTTATTTACGTTACGAAGCAAATGGCAATGACTAGTCAAGATCCATTATGTGTGACCATTACAAACAAAACAACGTTTTATAGCTGCAACATTACATCAAGTGGTAAAATCACAATGAGACATGTTGGGGATTTTCGGGGATTTTTGTTTGGGACAATAATTGCTTGTGCTCTGTCCCACTTTTGCTCTGCTGCTCGTCAGATGCAGACGTTAACGATTCGTTCACGTGATGTCAACACAGCAACGGCTCTCGCTTGTCGTCATCGTGACCGTCTAATCAGAAGATTATTTACACCTGGGACAGCGGGTGGATGTAATTAAGCAGCTGCTGGGACAGGAAGCAGCTGCACGCCGCTCCTCCAGGATCAGAGCTGAGAGAAACTCACCGGCTCTACCCATTGGGATGTTACTGCGTTCTGGCCAAACTACTCTGTGGAGCCAGAGTCCAATATTTTCCTCATTATCAGTTTTACTGTCTAGGGCTTCAATGCTAGGTTACAAGTGTACGTGTGAATGAACTGAGCCTGTTTTTAGAGAGCAGGCACATACACGTTTGCACATCTCTGAGATAATAAATACAGGCTGATTATTATGAAAACGAAGGTAAACACCATCATTTTGAAGAAGAGAAAGTCCAGACCCAAGAAAACTTTGTCCTCCTTAAACCTCCCCATGATCATTTGCAGCAGTCACTTCATAGCACCGTCCAAACCACATCAAACCTTCACCCTAACCATAACTCAAAACTTTTGGAACATTAACTTTAACTTTCTTCCTTCATGGCTGCAGCTGGATGGAGTTTTCTCTATACAGACCAAGGTGACATTTACAAAAATATTGTTGTAGGGCGATATTAAAGAAAAAAAAAAAGATTTCAAGAATAATGTAACATTGAGCGAATAAAGTTATTGAGAAAACGTCATTATATTATGAGAATAAAGTAATTTATCAAGAAAAAATTCCACTCCTGGATTCAACATCTTGTTTCTTGAGAAAATGCGAAACCCCTTTTGAATAGCACACAACAATCTGCAGCTCGTGTACGGCACTCTGCAGTTTGAATGTAAATGTGACCATCTGCTTGTTGCCTAAAGACAGTCTGTCTTTAGATGCATGTTTAAGATTGACATAAAAAAATAACGACAACAATGGAAACAAACAGAATCTGATCTGTGTGGAGGAATAAGGAGAATGTAACATTCCTGAAATGAACACATGACATTTATGAAGTGTATGGCAAACATAATCTAGCTTGTTACCATTTAGGTTTGACGGATGCTGTTTAATCATCTTGTTGCTCCCTCCTCTGCAATGATTTAATGATGTCAAACTGGAAAATCAGCACCAACAGCTGTTTATCCTGATGAACCGACTCCTAATGTTCACACTAATGATAGAATGCTGATGTTACTGCTTTGTGCAAAGATTTGATCAGCTGTATGAAAGCATGTTCTTCATCTACTCTGGATGACTAATGCTTGTCCAATAAATCACTGCAAAAACAGGGGAAACCATCATGCATCATGCATTCTAAAATAAATAAAATGTTTCCCTTATGACTTCAGATTCTCTTCTCAACGGAGAACAGAGAACATGTGATTCTCAGAGCGTCTTTACTCAAGGACAAAAAGCTTTTGCATTTCGATTGTTAGGACAGAAGCAGTTATTCTCTGTCTCATTTGGTCTGAAATGTGAAGTGTGTTTTAACTTTTGACTGCACCCACAGTCATTCGTGTGTCACAGGTGTGCTCTCCTTCGCCTGTACCAGCAGTGACGTCGAGGTGTGTTATACATGAAGCGAATATCATGGGTCAAAGTTCAGCAACTCCAGACAAATCCACACTCCTTGATTTGTTAAGCAAAAGTTTTTTTTATGCTCCTCACACATTCGAGTATGTGTGACCATGGCCTAATCCTGTTCAAGTGTGACAGACGCACAAGTACAGACCAGTCCTCACATTTCTTCCTTCAAAATAAACAGAGCACTGCTCATGTTGTGCTCATGTACACACCTAATATTGTTGGGATGCAGATACACTGTATATTCATGATTCAGGCTACACTGAGTTAACTCCACTGGACTGCTTCATAGGTGATTCCTCATTAAATGGCTGCATTCACCCAGCACTTTGCAATTTACCTGTGATTAACCTATTCACACACACACCAGAGGCAGTGAACCATGCAAGGTGCTGCTCTGACCATCGGGAGCCATTGAGAGTTCAGCGCCTCGCCCAAGGACAGTTCAACGTGTGGACAAGGAGGAGCTGCGGCGCTAACCGCCATCACCACGATAAGCGGATGACTCGCTTTGCCTCCACTCTCTCAAGATTTGGAATAAAGATATTTCAGGACATCATACTGAGTACCTTAGAGGTTTATGTAAAGTTTTGGCAGAAACTTGCAGGCATGGTCAGAGTTGCAGGTCCTCATCTGACAACATGTAGGTGTTACAGGCACAGGATCTCACAAGTTATATGGCAGAAGTCCAGTGATCAATGAGTCACGATTCAACTTAACTTTAAACACAAACCACACACAGATCTTTATGAGATCATTCAAAAAATACAGCAAAGACAAACACGCCCTGATTGAGAGCACATGCAGACTCACACTCATACACCCGTGCACCTGCAGCACGAGGGTCATTCATCAGGCTGCTAATACGTCTCCTATGTCCCCAACCTCAAAGACAAACATTAGTTCCTCACAGACTCATACAGGAAAGAACGTGCATGAGCACCAGCACACGCATGTTTGTGTTTTACACAGGCAGACACATTACTCACGCCTCACACCTGCTCACCCCAGAAACACCCATCAGTCATGCACATACGCTTTAACCACTGAGGAAGAAATGAAAACCATAACACACACACAGGCGGACAGAGAGATACACACATTTCATTTTGATTTGCTGGATGATCTCGATGAGCTCCATCTCTGTAGGCATGTAGCCCATGGTCCTCATGCAGTCTGCGATGTCTTTGTAATGGATGAAGCCGTCCGCGTCATAGTCAAATTCCTTAAAGGCCTCCTGCAGCTCTGACAGACACACAAACGAATTACAGCAATTGCAGCACAACATAAAGTGGGGCGACGTTTCCCCCCCCCCCTCGAGTCAGACACACACAGCGTGCACAGACACTGATAGCGATGCTTTCAGCAGAATGAACTTATCTGTAAGTTGTTGCCTCCAGCAGACAGAGCTGTGGCCGGCTCTTGAGAACAGTAAGTTAGGTTGTTTTATTTAATTTTGTAGCTGTGAGTCATTGGCAAACAGTATTTCAAGGCAAATCTGAGGCAGTTTAATGTTAACAGTGAGAAATATCAATGCAATTGTTGAAGCTGTGCATCTTTTCACTAGTCATTAATCATGTGCTTGCATCATAATTACACTCACAACATCTTACCATCCAGCTCCTCTGGCATCAGCTCCCTCTCCTGCAGAACAGAGAACAGAGAGACAGTGGAAATGATTACAACACAGCATCAGAGGAAGGGGTGTAAAATCAGGGTGCCTCTAAAACAGCAAATGCTCCTGAGAAATACCCCAGTGATAATCTGTTTTCAACGACCAAATTAGAATAACATGCATATCATGTCAACACCACTGCATGCTGACAGTATCCTCTAATGGGATTTCACCCAGCGACATGTCTTTCTAATTTGCAAAATAACACAATGCCACACACTCCTACGTGCACACTCACATGCACTTCATCTGCAGCATCCTGAGGGAGACGCAGCAGCACAAGCTCAGTGTGTGTGTGTGTCTGCATTCAAACACGTACCTACGCATAGCCGATATGACGGAGCATTTCAAAAACCTCAGATCGTCATGTTCAGACACTAATACACACACAGACACACTCATATGATGAGCATGCAGCCCTATGTGTGACACGTTCAGTATTCTCTTGCCTTGTTTTGACATTTGCTCAGGGTGATCTCTTGCTCCCTCTCTCCTTTTTTCCTCCTTTCCCTCTTTCTCTTCTCTTTTCATGTGTTTTCAGAGAAGTTGAGGCAAAGCCAGGAGTAGGAATAAAATCTCCATTTAGTCAGTTAGCATAATGATAGCGCTAAAGTTAAGTGTGTCGTTTAAGTAGATCGACACTCGGTAGAGCAAATACATCAAAAATGCCCAACAGTCCACTTAAATTTAATCAAGTTGCACCAAATTTCAAACACTCATAAATATCAGTTCCATATCATATATTTCTTTAATCAAGATCCACGAAAGGAAAGTGTTTAAAAAACGTCCAAACTCTCAGTGTTAAAGAAAGTAAAAAGAAATCCTGGCTCCGCAACAAAAATATTTCTTCTCTGACCGATACCTCATCCTTCCAAGTTTAATGGAAATCAGTTGTGTACTGTAATCATGTTTACAATCAAACAAACAAACAAACAGGGTGAAAACATAACCTCCTTGGCGTATCACATGCATCAGTCCTTGAAACAATAATCCACTTAGCATATCAGCAAACATTTACTGACACTCATTTGCATATGTAAAGCTTGTTCATTGAAGTATCATATCCTGAAATGAAACCATTCATTCTTTGAAAGCATTTCAACAACATGTCGTCAGCCAGATGCCTGTTGTTTCATGTTTATGTTGCACTGGCGCCTACAGCGTCTTGACTCTATAGGGCCTGCCAATGATGTCCGGTTCTCCTACAGAAACATCACATCCACAGGGGGAAGCAGGAAATATGCAAACTCCAGTCATCTTGCTATAGAGCAACTGAGCCTGACATATGGAGATATCGCTCAGCATAACTACGCCACGAGCCTGAGGATATCTGCAAGTTCAAAGAAACAAGACTGACATTAAAGCTTATAAAAGCTCTGAATATTGCAAGTGTGCACAACTTTGCTCGTGGGCTTTTCTAATAATACAAATACTGTAAAAACACCAGTGATGGAATTAATTCTGACATTTCACCTGGGTGTATTTCCATTATGTCAGATTTTACCTTTATTCCATGGCATTTCTGGGGTTTTACATGAAATGTTCAAAGTATGCTGCATTGTTAAAGCTTGTGACTGTTAAAATAGTTTGACTGCATCAGCCACTGCCAGCTCTGTGATTAGTCACTTTGCTTCCTGAGCCAAAGGCACTCCCATCAAGATTGTCTTAGAAAAACCATCACTTCCAATAAAGTGTAGCAATGCAGTGCTGAGTGTTATTCTTTTGATCTGCACTTAATATTTTTTACAGAGGAACTATGCTTCTAATTGTCTAAATGTCTGTTTTACTTTATTACTGCTTCTGAGGTCTAAAGTCAGTTGCTCTTTTTTTTGCCGCTGAATGAGAGAGATATTAAAAGTAAATCAGCAGCCGCGAAACTTAAATACAAAGGGAGGTGCAATATTTTTGCTCCTAATACATGTTGGCATTCAGACTGGCTAATACATAAATCATACAAGGTCATCCTGTTCAAGTGCACAATAGCTCCAGGATGAGGAGAGTTTATTTGGAATCTGCTCCGCATGGCAGGCGTTCAAATGATTATTCAGTGTATAATAATGCCAGCAGAGTCGAAACGCATATACAATGCCAGGATGCAATTATGTCAATAGTTTTTCACTGTGTGTCGCCTCAAATACTAAACTGCTCATGATTTATATAAACCTTTTAAATTGTGTAATATGATTTTTGATGCCACAGCACAAAAATAAAATAAACCTCTGTTGGCCGTGACTGCAGCAGCACTGCTGTTTACCCTGCACAGGCTCCTCCAGCCCACAAGGGCATATTTAGATATGAAGGTCAACACATTAATTGGATTTTTTTTCATCCAGAAAGGATTAGACAGCATGCACCACGCAGACTCTCAATTCATGTGTCAGAACGAGCCCATTAACAGTTAATTTCATTCTGTCTGCCTTCACATGGCCCATTGAGCAGCCCACTGCTTTGTAAGCATGATGCATGGGCACATGTGAGAGCTATGTGGATACGCCACACAAATGCATACATTATTGGAGCTGGATTTAAAATGACCACACACACACACACACACACACACACACACACACTCGTCGTATTTACCTATTGATGGGCACACTCTGCTCATCTGCTGTCTCTCTATCTGATATTCAAATGCACCAATTGTCTTTCTTGGGCCATTTGTCTCTCCCAGCTCCAGTTGGATCTAATGAGCGCTGACAGTGAACCTTGCTACGGGAGTTATTAATACTTGTGTTGAGGCAGGGATTAGGGAATGCTGCAGGACGCTCTCCCTGCTTTTCAGTGTCAGGGAAAAAAAACGAAACAGTGCATGTGTGTCCTGTGGAAACGATGCAGACCCCTGTACCTTCCTACTAGTAAATTCAACCCAAACGACTGTCACGGTAAAACAAAGCAGATCAGTGGTGGCAGCCGGGGTAGTAACTCAGGGACGGATGTGGACGAGGATTTCACAGTTGGTCAAGGTCAACAAGAAACTGTTTCCAGCTCAGGTTGAATGTAATAACTACGTTAGAACAAGGACTGAGCCCTTCTGCACTCAAATTCACCCACATTATGTGATGAAAAGAATATATGTACATATATGCCATATATTGCATGCATGTATATTATATATGTTCTATAGTAAAGTATAAAGACATATATTAAACAAACTATTGCTGTAAAATCTACAAACAAGATTATAAATCGACAGCTGAGGGAATACATACTTTTCTCAGAGTAATGTGTCTGTTCAAACATTAAATTCATTCATTCATGCATCACTATCACTGGCTCATTAATCAGCTGTTTTGACAATCAGCCGACAGGAAGTGAACAATCTCTTATTTTATATTTAGGTTTAATTCGTACATTTTAAGGAAGACAAAATAAGTCCTTGAAAATACCTAATTATTTTTATTTGCCAATATGGGTTCTCCCCCTTGTGACATAATAAAATGTTATACTGTGGTGTTACTAAATATGTACAGTAAATAATGGTTTAAACAGAAATGGGAAAGGTGCCATTGAGCCGGATCGTTTGTTGGCTCGTTTGCAGTTATTCCATATACTCTGATGGCCTGCAGGAATCAGGGATCATGGTATCAGACATGACCAGAGCCAATTTTTACATCAGCCAAGCCGAGCATTAATGGAGGCCAGCTCAGTGTCCGGGCTGTAAATCATGTGTGAAGAGGAGTGACTTCTTTATATCTTTTTGGAGGTAGAGGATGGTGCAGCAACCCCGGCTCCTGATCAGATACTTTCACATTTGAATGAAATGAGGTGTTTAATGATATTGACTCTCACTCTGTGTTGACGTGTTGACGTGTTTTATAGCAGCAGGGCGTTTCAGTCTTAGATCCTCATGGCTCACAGCAAACAGGTTCATCCAGAGCTTACATTTCCAATCGATAGTTACCACCTAGATTCTGCTGAACAAATGGATCCATTGTGCAGCTCGATTCTGTGAAACTTTAAAGTCAATGCAGTGTGACTCCACTCTGTGTGTGCCGGTCTCTTCCCTCTTTTCTTCACAAGCTCAAGGAGAGCATCATGTGGAAAAAGTACATCAAATCATTGTAATCATTGTAACACAACATTGTTGCTGCACTGACCTGTCCAAAGAGTTTATTGAGGTAGGAGATGTAGGCGGCGGCCACTGCTGAGCTGTTGCTGAGGCTCCTTTTACCGCGGCGACGTGACCCCTCCTCGCCAGCGCCCTTACCTTTGGCCGAAGGAGACTGTGACTTTGAGCTGTGAAGTTTGCATGAATGAGTTAAGAGTTGAGCCCTGTAACATCAGTCCTATAATTTCCCTCCCTTAACTCATGTTAGTAAAAAATACACTTAAAGGGACAGTGTGTAGAATTTTGGTGTTTAGGTGTTGAAACTGAATGTTGCAGCTGAACACCCCTCACCTCACCGAAAGGTGTTTAGTTTGTCCAGTCTGGACTAATGTCAAAAACATGGCGGCCTCCGTAGAGTGGGTCCCCTCGATGTAAATATAAAGTATTTAAATATAAAGGACCTTTTCTGTGGTAAAGAAAACTACAATTCATACAATTTAGATGAAATGAACTAGTGAAAACATCATGAGGATTATTAGATTAGATTATATTAGACTCAACTTTATTGTCACTGCACATGTACAAAGCAACGAAATGCAGTAAATGCAGTATTCTACATTAATTTTCTTTCACCTAAATCTTACACACTGGACCTTTAAGAGCCTTTTGGGAGATATTCTTAGAAAGGTGTTACACCATAACCACCCTTGAAATAATTGCCCATCTTGAGCGGGATGATTTAAACATATCAACGGTCCAATCAGATGACGTCCGTGATTACCTCAGTCACCAGAGAACGGATGACAGGAAGTGTTCCTTGAGGACAATTTAGATTTTCTGAGGGGCTTGTTTTTGCCGGTGATGTACCAATCGATGACACTAATTGGGTGCACAGATCTACACAGCCCACTCCCCTCATCCTAATCAATGTTGATTAGAAACAGAGAATGATAATAACCAGAATTTCTTGGAGAGGCTGAGCTGAAGGGCCTTGTTTTTGAATCTCCCAGAAGCAGGTGATCTGCCAGCAGCTGCCGCCGCTGCCCCGCGCCCCGCTCGAGGAGACATGCTAGGAGAAAGAGAAGCTTTAATCAGTTTTAAGTGCACTTAATGTTCCGTGATTAATATGAACACTTCTCTATTTTTACAACCAACAATAAAAATCCTGGACTGTGTGGAGTCTTTGCTGTTAGCGTGGATTGCTAACAGATAGAAGCAAAGAAAGAAAAGTAATGTAAGAGTTTAAAGACTACATTACCCAAAAAATAAAAATAAAAAAATCGGTTCAAAGCCAAATGATAATTTCTGGTATGGTTGTCTTTCCCATTATGAATTTTTCACTGATACGGTACTGTACAAGAAAACACATTTTGGGATGCAAGTCATTCAGACTGATGTTACATGGTTACACATCATTTTAGTTCATGGTGTCACTGACCTGGCTGCTGACGATGGCCGACTATCTGCTCCTCCCTTTGCACCTTTCAATGACATCCTGTGTGGAAGAGACACGGGGAAAAAAAGAGGACAGTCTCCTTTGAAAAAGAAAGTCCATTCATGGTTGACCAAGCTTCATATCTTTGTTACATTGTTTACATGTGATCCAGCTCATTGTGGTTTCACATACATTTTGTATGATTTACATTCGTCCAGTCTTCATCAACTACATCTGCCGTGTCTACCTAAATTTGACATTGATTGGTTTGTGGACGGATGTGCATCTTTCAGCAGAAATAGTGTGTTGCAGGATTTTAGAGGTTTGTCACTGAGCTGCCTGCTGTGGTTGAGACTGACAATGAGAATAAACATAACAATAAAGTGTTGAGACATAAAACCTAAACAATGAGCCTAAAAATGCCAAAACTGTCTGAAGAGCTGAGAGTTTAGTGATGATCATCTGTGAGTGTGTCGGTACAAAACACCCAATTCACATTAAATTAGCTTCATCTTTAAAGATGCATGTTGAAGCACCTTTAACTATTGATTAAAAAAAACAACATATGTCACACATAAATAAAACAAGAAGCTTGAGCACAGGATTCAATTTAAACTATGACTTCTACATCTCCAGGGAGGAAATGTTATCCAACTGCGGGACAGATTACTTTGGACATGAGGACAAACAATGAAATCAAGATGATACACAAAAAATAAGAGTGGGTGGAGAGCTCAAGATAGCCGAGATCAGAGGAGCACAAAGGGAGGAATAGTGCGAAAGATGGGAGTGTGAGACAGAGGAAGATAGAGAAGATGAAGATGACAAAAGAGCGAGTGAACGATAATCGCATGACTTGCAGAGGAGGAGGAGGAGATACATACAATCTGTTTGAGACATGCAGAGCTGCCATTCTGGTTATAAGCCCCTGATGAACGGCGGCTCTCAGCGTTGATGTGTTGCAAACACAATACCTCACTCCACCATCTCACATGCCATAAACACAGATACTGAAGATCTGCTCCAGCGGCCGCTACTCAGGTTAAACATACACCGCGGCGGCCATAACAAGAAGAGACACAAAGACCAGCCAGTTCGCTAAATTACGTTCGACTGCTTAATGTGCCTCTGCCAAACGAGCTGCATTCCAAACTCCCACTGGGTTGATCGAAACGCACCATGACAGAGGAGTGATTGCTTGTCTGTCACGCTTTCACACAATCAGTGTCCATGTGATACACGGTGGAGGCAACACGCTTAGAGCATGTTAAGGGGTTGGGGCGGAGAAGGAGGAGACATTTTCTACTCCCAACACAAATGCAATTCAAAAATTACAAAGATTGGATGGAATTTATACATGTATTATCTAAGCTGCACTGTAATATAGGCCCATAGTGCAATTATAGTAATAGTTTTTAATTTTAATATACAGTACATGCAGGATATGATGAGTCATACATCATAGCTTTCATATAAACAGAGAGAGAGAGAGATACTTTTGCACAGCTACCCTTATCAGGACTTTGCATTGCATTCCATTCATTATGGACAACCTAACCAAACTTTATGCCTAACGTTAACCCTGACCAATTCATCCCTAATCCAAACCTTAATCTCACTACAATTCATATCTCAGTCCGAACCTCAACCAGGAACTCAGAATTTAATTTAGCCTTATTAGGACGTGGCTTTGGTCCCCATGGGATGTACTGGTCCTGATGAGGTCAGTGTCCTAAAGAGGTAGCACACACAAACACACAGACACACACACACCCACACACACACACACCCACACACCCACATCTCTTCCACTCCCCAAAAGGTTCACGCTGTACATGTGGGTAAAGCACCATATCTGGACTTTCTAAAGAAGCTGTCTCACAATGTTTGCCTGAATAATTGCTCTCATCTTCAGTGAGCACAATCCCATCAGGTTAAACAAACACACACACACACACTGACACGCACGGACACAGACACAGCGCACACACACGATTTACCACACAAGCCAGCATTGAGCAGCATTCTGTGTGTGTGCAGATCTCCTCCCTAAGTGGCCAATTGCTGTCAATCACCGAGCCGACACAAGCAATTTTAGATCCTAATCACGCTAATTGAAGTAATGAAATTGAGGGCCAGTTGGATGTGGGCTAAAACAAACACAGCTAACGCAGCTGATGATGGAGAGCGGCCTGCACTTGAGGGCTGGTGGTGTTGCGGCAACGGTTGAATGGCCCTGGCCCGGGAAGCAAGGGGTTAAACTCTAAATAGGAATTCTAAATATATTTCAGAAGAGCCACTGGAGAGAAGGGCAACACAAAACAGGCAGAAAATAGAAAGCGCTTAGAGAGGTGATTACTCCACCAAGGCTGCACCATTCTTTTAATCTGTTACTTCAACAAGGGCGAAATGAAAAAAACATGTTTTGGTTTTTTTGGATGGATGTGACTGTGTGCATCAGAACATGTGCATTGACACACATTGTCCTGATTTGCTGATAGTGACCATGCTTTCTGGAGAGTACTTCCCTCCTGTCTGGGAATATAAGAGCATTGCACACGGATGAATTGAGCAAAAATATCCAGCGAGACACATTCATGGCCACAGAGATATGGCAGCTCATAGTTGTTATGTAAATTTGGTTCCACTGAATTCAAGAGCTTGGGTCATTTATGACAAATAGGCGACATCTAATAGAGTTTCAACAAGTTCTACAAACTGAATGGAAATACTTATTCTTGTGTAATGTGTCTGTTTAGGTGGAGAAGTGTGGGGCTAATGGTGATAGGTCTGTTTCTGTCACCACAGAGGATGACGTTAAGTTAAAGGACACTTAGTCCATACATCAAGTGTCACTCATTGATTTGTGAGCTGCTGTTCTGAAGTGTTGTTTGACGGATGGACAACCTGAAAACAGGCAACAACCACCAAGCAAACTGACAGAGCTAAAAACATAATGTCAAGAACCTCTTCAGCAGATCTAATTCATCAAGAGGGTACTTTAGCATTGGACTAAAATGGTTGAACACACAGTTGGACAGAAAAAGTCAAAGTTGACCCTTCTGTTGCACAACATTCTTCTTACTTTCCTATTTTACCAAGCAGAGAGGAGGAGTGGGGAGAAGATTTCTGGTTAAATCAGTTCTTTCTAACTTCAATGCTGCCTCATGTCACATTTTGTGGGGTTTCATTAAACTTTATTCACATGTGCAGTGGCACTCATTAACATCTGTAAACATCTGTAATATGCTCCCTTGAAAGACGGCACGTTATCCCTATAACTCGAATTCCGCTTAATGTCACTGCGATTTGTTGAGTGGCTGCAGAGAGAGACCTTTATAATTAACAGACAAACAAACAAATCCTGGTTACATGAGAAAAACAGAGCAAAGTCACGGACAGAAAGATGATCTGCTCAGATTGGGGATGAGTTCAGCTTCCAGCCCCCCCCCTTCCCCTTCCTCCTCTGTGTTTTTGAAATATCTTTGTCTTCACCCACAGACCAGTCAGAAGACAATCAATCCCTGAGGAACAAAACCAGCCCAGTGACTGATCCATAAACAGCCGATGGTAATGCAATTGGATCTGGCACTCCATCTTATCTTCACCTATCTTAACACCTCTCCACCACATCCTCCCCAACCCACCAGCCATCCCCCCCAGCACTGATTTTGTGTCACAGCTCTGAAATGGGACTGTCGCCTCTGGTATAACTGCGGATAGGGAAGAACAGAGGGAGAGAATGAGATTTTTTTCTCTCTCTCTCTCTCATTCACGGACATCTTGTTCTGTCTGTTCATTTGTGAGAAATCAACTTTTTCTTGCTTTGTATAATTCTAGTCTAATTACAACCTCTTCCCGGTTGCACATTTCTGCAGGGCAGCCTGATAATCACACTCTCAGGCTGCTTTCAATATGTCTGTTGTTGCGTTTGCACTGCAACAGGAGTGCAAATATTGAAGCAAAACAAATGCAAACAGTGGGCCGACCATCTGTTGGCTCGTACAACACTTGAGCTCCAGACATATCATGAAACTGAAAATTCTCCTGAAGTTGTCCAAAGGTACGTGAGAATATAACAGGAATATGTCCAGAGAATTCACAGAATGAGTGAGTGAGCATGTTGACGAAGTTTCTAACACGTGACAGAAAACACAACACCAAGAAAAAGGAACATCTCAGGATGAAAAGAAGTTCCATTCATGTAGAAGACGCTGAAGAAAGACAAGGTCAACTCGGAAAGACAACAAGATTTGTGAGATTTTGGTGATGAGAGCTGATGCCGGTGTTGATGCGCTGTTTACAAAAACCCTTGATTTCCACATTGGAATTTATACGTCATGTCTTGCCTCCAGCAGGCTCTACCCAGAAGCCACCCCTCACCTGAATGTTCCAGAGGTTTTCCTGTTGTTATTACCGTGTCTGACCTAAACCATCTCCTGCTGCGTGTTTAATAACTGAAAGTCCACAAAATGTCTGCACAACAGGGTCCGGACATGTCTGAAAAACAGAGTGATAGTGTTCCGCCTCAAATATACAATTTTCAAGACCTGTTGACTACAAATGAATCAAATATCTGATTCCAGTTTGTTTTGAATTATTAAACATTTCAGAAAAATATTCATTATAAATCATTAGTGCAGCAAAATACACTGATACACAATCCTACCTTCTTCAGCCACCAGAAGAAAGGGAAGAAATTGATTTTGATTCTGTTTTTTCTATTATATCAGATTGTTTATCTTGTTTGTCTTGGATGACAGATGCGAATGAGGCATATCTCGTATGAAGCCTTAACCCAACCTGAGGATTATATAATGAAAGGTGATTATCCAGCTAAATATGTCTGGATTAGAGCTATAGCTGCGGCTGTCTCTGTCCTCCAGAACAAAAAGGGCAATGGTATTGTCTTAGTGCAGATATGTTGTGGGGGAATCAATTCATATTTCATATCGAGCTGTTTTTGGTTTGAGCGACTTTGCATTCAAGATGTGAAATCATTATTGAACAGCTGCAGGATCCATCAATGACAAACTCTGTCAAACCAACCTGGGTTTATTTAAAAGTCAGTTTATATTTCAAAGAAGAGAAGAAATGTTGAGCTCAGACAAAAGTCAGAAGCAGCACTACATATTTAATTAATTGATACAGTACCATATTTAAACTCAACATGAATTCATGTTAAATGGGATTTTTTCCTAGTAGATTGGCCTCAAAATTTAAAATCTGGTGCAGCTGCCTTAAAATTGTAATAAAATAAATAAAACGTTTTCTGACCTTTTCATTTTTTTCAGTGTACGAGCCAGCCAAACCATTTACACAAATGATGAGAGGACAACATGCAATAATTGCACATAAACAAGATACAAAAAATGCAGAACAAGATCAGTTTTCACTTTGTAAAAGCAACAAAAAAAACTATGATAAAGCAAACTTGTAAAATGTACTGCAACATACATAAAATAAAGAGGCCCCATTAAGAAACCTCCCCCTGCTGTGACAGGCATTTGGTACAGTCCAGGTGTAGGCGTGGCCATTCACCACATGATTGTTTGAGTTGAGGAGGACAAACATCTTGAAACCAGCAGGTAACTGAAGACAGAAAATGACATCACTCAGACACAAAGACAACAGAACTTACTTGTTGGCAATACAAAACTAAATGTGCTAGTACTTAGCTCGAAATAATATAAATCAAAGTGAATTCATGTGTTTGTTGATAAATTGTACCTTGCGGCTGAATTGAATCTCTGAAATTAGTGAGAATTTAAAAGGATAGTGAAAAAGTGATAGGACATGTGGCTGGTCTGATGGTAACATGGTCAAATGACAACTGTGAACATCAGCTTGAGATAAAATGCAGGTAAAATGAAATTGTTTGGAGAATCACACAGCTCAGCACCTACGCCCAAATCATGTTATTGAGGGGATTCTCACCAAGACACTAAAAATGCCACAGTGACTTTGCTGAAAATGTGTATAAAATGTCAAATCAGAAAATGTCCACATGATGTAATATTGCAGCCATTAAACCATGGTATAATTTGATGGTCATTGGCTTTTAATTGAAATGTCTGGGCAAGCAGATAATGAATATACCATATATAACATCAGTACGTGTGAAGAGGGGTCTATCGAGCAACTGAGGAGAACCTGAGAGGACAGGTCAAGAGGTTAATTAACTAACAGCTGAAAAAGTAGATGTCCATTCAAGCCTTTGGCGATGAGTCCTCATACTGATGCATGGAGCGTTAAATGTCGCCACTATAATGATAATGGCTTCACTTGGGTTTAAGCTTGGGCATTCTGTAAAGCTGCCTCACAGTGGCAGGCACATTTATGTGTCGTGTGTGTGTGTGTTTGTGTATGTGTGTGTGTGCATATCCATAGCTTGAGTGAGTGACAATCCTCCCCTCTTTGTACTGTCCATCCCTCCATCACAGAGCTTTTCCTCACTGACAGAGTTCACTGATTGACTGCTGTTTGTTAGTTAAGTCAGGTGAAGGATTTAGAGGGATTTCAGGTCCCTGGGGCCATTTCCTATTGAACGCTGCTCTGTTTATTGACTGTCGACTTGTCTCAAACATGCTCGCTATTCTTGGTGAGAGAACACCTTAGGTTTAACGTGTCGACAAGGTCAGAATTGTATTTTCCCTCATCATAGCCTATCTTATAAACTGTGCATCATCCCCTCAGTTGTTCTTCTCCTGTGGCTGTTATATGTATTTGAACTTTTCTTCTTTTCTGCTGAAAACCCTGCTGAATTTACCCTTTTGTCATATAAATATCACACCTTTCTTTAAAATGTGTTTATTGCAAAATGGATAAATCTTTTCCACCTTGTCATTTCATTGAAAATATGCTTTAATTTTACAGATTAATGACCAGAGGATCTACCCAAGCAAATATGTTTCCAAATAACATTGTTGTGCTCAGGAGAAAACAAAAAACTGCAGGTGAGGCATAATCTAATTTTTCACTCTATCGCTGGCTCTCTTTCTCTGGTCTTTGCCCAGCGAGGCAGTGCTGCAGTGGGGAAACTGTTTAAAGAACCTACTCCCCTGTGTGATCAGACTCTCGCCACGCTCAAATATGCTTACCGCAACCAATCAAAGCCCTTATTTGGCACTTTGCTATTTTTTTTTAAGAAGTGGAAACTTATTTCACCCCTTACCTCCACAGAAAAAGACAAGGAAGTGCAATAATGTTGTCACATTTCACGCACCAGTCAGCTCCCAATGGAATATAGACCTCTGCATTGTTGACTTGGGTAGAAATCAACTTTTTTAGCTGGCTCGGCTCGGAATGACTGGGGGCAGTGGTGCAGTTTTGAACAGCATGACGCCAAATCCTGGAAATGCTATATAATATAGCTTATAAATCCATAAGCTTTTCAGAAGCAGTCATATGAGGACTTGTCTTTTTCAACTATGATATTGCATTTATTTCGCCAGTGATGTTTTCAGGGAAATGTAGCAATAAATGATTTAAAACTTTAACACATAAATTAAGGACAATAATATTAATAATGTGAAGTGAAGCTCCTAATAATTTAAAATGTTGTAAATGTAAAGTGACCTTTGTAAACCTGAGATAAAATAAGAGAAATAATACATTACATCCATAATACATTCATGTATAGAAAAGATTAGTATTTTCATCATTATTTTGTATTTGTAAAAATAAGTGTGAATGAATAATGTCAGCAGCAATGTTAGGCTACATCCATAGTAGTACGTTTTCATTTTAAAACGTTTATCATGTGACCATTGATGTGCAATGGGCATGTGTGTGCCAGTGTTGACAACCCCCCCACGAGAGTTTGTGGTGATAAGAGCTAAAGACACTCAGGAAAAAAGCAATAAATTCCCACATTGTGTGTGAAAGTACAAATTGTGGCCTGGTTTTTACATCCGAATCTATTTGGAAAATTACAATCCAATCACGAAAGAGAGTAAAACTGTCCAACCAGAGAGCAGATGGTTTCCGCCGCCTGGAGGGTGAATAAGATGGTCGAGGGAGCAGGCTCTTCTGCGACACAGGGGTTGTAACATAATATTACAAGCCCATAATCTTATTGACCTTAATTTGAAGCCGTATATCCTGAGCCTGGAAGGTGTGGTTGGCTTAAGGCAACAAAAACACTGCTCAAGGAAAACACCTTCATTTTGTAAATATAATAAACTCATTTTCGATATTGAATAAAAAACATGATTTTTCTTTGATATTAACAGTTTCTCGACATTTCACCAAAACTGCAACCTTCCCCACAGACGTCAGGTTTCAAACCCGTCTCGAGTGTCTGACACTTTGTATAAACCCTGATGTGCACAGATGTAGCACTTTGCCACCACAACATAAAACCTTTTAGTAATGTTATGTCAATGCTTGGTTTTCATTAACATTATTATGGTCCTGGGTTATCCTCATTAGCTTTGAATTGATTTGTTTAAAAAACTGTATTCTGTGTTAAGAAGTACTTGCTTTTGCTGTTTACATGTGAGCAAGTTACCTTAGGAGAGGGGCTAATGGAGGGGTCTTGTGCTTAATGATGTGTTCACATATTGGTGACTGATAAAGTCATATCGGGAATTAATCGCTTGCACTGTTGCCTCATTAAGCAAAGCATGACGACCTGCCACAGGGCACTGGCTGCACACCCTGCTACAATCCCTCCAATCTCAATACATCACAGTTTTACTCCATATCTACTCTTCATTCTCGTGATGTACATTAATGATCCCATAGGTGGCCTTTCTCTAACAAATGTTTTTCTTTTCCATGCTTTTATTCGCCTGTCTCAGTTTCCTGGCTGTGTTTTTGCATGTCCTCCTTCCTTTTCTCAAGTCTTTAACGTTTTCTCTTCCCTGTCTTTTTCACTTCAGTCACCTTCACACTCATGCTCTGGAGAGATTGGCTCGCCTCTATTCGAATACCCCTCCATTTTGCACATGCCCACTGCCCTGATTCTGGGCCACATCTCCCTCCCTCCATCTCCAACTCTCCCCCTCTTTTATTTATGGGAATATGCTGATGTGGCAAACCCAGGTAAAGACAGAATTCTCTTTTTTCTTCTCCGGTTACAGCGTGAGAAACAGAAATCGAAATAGAAAAACAAGTGAAATGGTGGAAGAGTGAATGTGCACACACAATTAATCACTGAGCTGTCATCTGTCCTAAAAAGCAAAGCCATTCATCAAAAGGTGCAGAGGAGAAAGCGGGAAAGGATGAACGAGGTAGAGGCAAAGAGATGCGAGAGAGAACTATCACAGGATTGGTGCAGGATCTAATTAGGTCAGTGGCAAGTAACATGGCTGTGTTAATGCTGATCTTTGCTTCGGAGTTGGAACAGCAGGCTGGTGGGAGATCAGGGTCAGCAGGAGAGTAATTCAATCTCGTGAGGGAGAAAACAAGAAAAAAGGTAATGTCTTTAAATTCAGTCGCATGTTTGTAACACAAATCCAAAGTCGCAAAACAAGGGACAACATCACCTAAATGCCAGAGGGACTGGTTGTGTATTTTCCTCAAAGAGCACATCACGTAAAGCCAAAAAAGAGCAAGAGGAGAATAAAATAAACAAAGAATGAAATAACACATTTAACCTGAGGGAATGTCATCCTGACAATCTGTCATTTTACTTGACAGGGGTCATTCTTTCCTTTGCATTGCTGCCGTGGCCTGTCACAAAACATTAGAAAAATGAAAACTTACTTCAGTGACATTGCGCATGAATTTAGATTAAAAAAACCTCCACATCTGTTCTTTTTGGTGCGCCCCTGCTTGTCAGAGCTAAGGACAAATCACAGGTAGGGTTAATGGGATCCGTCTGTGTCAGAACATCCCTCAGGGAGAGAAAGGAAGGGAAGAAAGACTGATAAAATGAGGGAGAGGTGAGAGTGGAAGGTGAGGTTGCCACGATGCGCGATGGAGCTGAGCCGGTGAGGGAGGACGGACAGAGGAAACCGCCTCTGGTGCGAGTCATGCAAGGCTAAACTTGGGGAGGTGGCGCATGGTGAAAAGAATAATGCATCTTGACAGAACAGCACTCTCTGCCAACACGACCATTGAACCCCCCCCCCTCCCAAAGCCAAGCGATGTGGAGCACAAGCAGCACCTGTGAACAACAACTGCCACCCTGGGGGAGCATCAACAACCTAGCCACCTGTTTAAAAAATACACTCGCCAAATTCACACCACCCGTTAAAGTCAGTGCATTTCATGAGCGCTTCGCTGTGATAGATAAAATGTTCACTGAGAGGAAGACTGTGCGATTGACTGACTGAGTTCAGTGACTTTACGGCTTACGTGCAACTTTTACTCACTGCAGAAATCATGTTTTTTGTTTAATACTTATCAACAAAAGCTCTTGAATCTTCCTTTTCCAAGTTGACATCTTCGTCAGCGTCCTGTATGTTTGACACCTCTCCTTCATCCAGAGATATTTATATTGTCTTTGTTCATAGTTTTGCGTCTGTCGCATGTTAGATATATCATCAACACGCCCACTCACTCGCTGTGAATTTTCACTCTGACTTTTTGGGAATTTGGGTTTTTATGATCCATACAGTTGTGTGTTTCAACTTTATTGTCCCTGAGAGGAAACCTGTTTTGCAGCCAGTCAAAAAAACAAAAACTCTAAGGGAACAAAGGTACAATGAAGAAAAACATTAAAATACATAAATACATGTATGCATTAAATAGCAACAGAAAACCAAGAGCTTGTAAAACCATTATCAAACTAAAAATAAGACCCTCAACACTCATCAAGAGTGAACAGGGAATGTCTAATCAACTAGGTCATCATTATGCAAAAGGGAGTTTTCATTTTGGTCACCCTTTTATTACATCATATCCTCTTTACTTGTGGTTTTGTCCGTCTCTGCTGTGACATCTGTGGCAAACAATGTAAAGGGAAGGAACACACACTGCTAGCCGGTTAGCCAGTTTTTCTTATCATGGATTACGATTATTGATTGCCTTCGCTGCGTAACATGATGAAAAATGGAAAGCATTACATTGTCCTTGAACATTAATGCACATCAAGAAGATTTTCATAAGGAATGGTGGTGAGCTCCCATGATCTTACGCTGCTTCACAATGCCATCAAACTATTTTGTTGTTTTGATTGAGAGACCCCTAGTGGCCGAAGATACACATTGTAAGTTTAAGATCACCTTACAAATAAAAGGCCCTATTACAACACACACACTAAGCTCTGCATTTTTCTGTAAAAAAAAAAAAGAAGAAAACTAAAGGCTGAGAAGTGACTCAGGGATTCACAATGTGTCTGCAGATACTTTCAAGGGCAAGTGTTGGATAAAGTTAGTACTTCATTTGATCTTCATAAGATGCAATTTATGCAATTTCCCTTTCCCTGTGTGGTGCAGAACGTTTCAAAATTCAGCATGTGCCGCTGCTATGGTATGTAAATAGAGGTTTTTTCAATCTCAGAGCTAATGGCTGGCTGAGAGTCAGGGGAGGTTGTGGTTGTAGACTTAATGGAAAACCTGCACTGCTTTGTGCCGTAGTAATGGGGGGAGATTATCTTGCCATGCAGACCGACTGGATGAATGCTCCTCCACAAATTGCTCGTACCTCTCCCTCCTTCCCACCAATCTCCCTCCCTCTCATTCTAGATGTCTATGACGTATATTATACACATAAGTAGCGCAGAAGCTTTAATCATGGCTGGGGGGACGTATAGCTGACAGTCAAGGAGGGATTTTTGGACTATGCTGTATCTCGAAATAATAATTTGCGTGTCCGTCTCTATACTTCTTCTTCATTAGACTCCTCCCATCTGGTTTGAGTCCTCTTCTCTTTTCTTTCTTTCTTTTTTCCTTTACTTTTGTCAGCTCATGGGCAATGCCACTGTGTTAAATATCCATCTGACAGGCTGCCTAATGTTTACCCCAGAGAAAGATCAATACCACAGCGCCATTGTCCAGACTTCATCCTTCAAGCACAATTGATTGTGTTTCTTCCTCTGCATGGACATGATGAAACCAGACAGATCTATGATGTGGTTTGGTGTCACAGTGAATGTAAAACACTGTCAATTAAGCCCTGTGACCATTGAATATGCTCATTGTGTCATTTGAAGGACATCATCCCTGTTACTTTTTCAATTAGATTGTAAAGATATTGCCTCAGGGCGGGATAGAAGTGAAATGGTGAGATAGAAATCATGATAATCATTAGCTTTTTATGGAAATGTGGGCACAGAACTGGAATTGGTCCCTTAAATCAACTCTGTTAGGCTTAAGATTCAATACAAGGATTTTGTAGTATTTGTACTTACTTATCTTCTTAGGACTTAATCCTCTTTGCCTGTTTCTGTAGCGCACACACAGATACACACACATTGGGGACTATTAATAGAAAGTTGTTCTAATGGAACCATTGAAATATTGATCATTCAGAATAATCTGTGTCTTGAAATATACTGAAATACCTAAAAAAAAAAACAGCAAACAAAATAGTAACTCTGAACATTCTGCAGACAACCCGAATGAGCCGCTGAAACTTTTTAATAATTTCGATTTTCATTCATTTCTTTTCTTCATTGGTTTGTATTAATATCTGTCCATTTTCAGCAAACATACAAACAGATATGAAAGAATCCTATTGGCTTGCTTTTTATAAGCCAAACAATGTATCAGTCAGGCTTTAGGTTTAATATATTATTTGTATTATTGTATTATTATTTGTGTGAAGTAAGGTCTTAACCATACTGGTCTGAATTCTTTTTCTTCAGTGGAGAAATAAGGATTCCTTCATGTATTGATTAAACTCCCCAATGTGCTAAAAACCACAACAAAAACCAAGGACCTAAACCCAGCGTCCTCGATTGTCGCTATGACCCTGACAAAGTGAGGGTAATTGAGACATTTTTTGGGGTTAACCAACCCTTCAGAAGTACATGCAAACTCTGTGATTGAGTGTAAATCACCCAGGACCTAAACATGTTGAGACTGCTGTGAGAGCCCTCCTGGTAAAGTACAGAGTGGGTCTTGGGTGCCAGCCATGCGGAGTACGTCTGAGAGTTGGGTGGTCAGCGGGTCAGCTGTGAGCACTCTGCAGCTCTCTGTCAGTTGCACCTGTGCGTCATCATTTCCAAGTTTCCCTGGAGAAAACCAGCCCCATGAAGACCAGGAGAGGACTTTGTCATCTTTACACCACTGTGACGAGGACTCAGACATCTGTTAATTTGACAGAGGTGTACTTCAGGAGCACCTCTGCATTAATTTCAAGCCACTTAAAGCATGTGGCCCGTATCTAAAGCCCCTATTTATAGTTGGATAGTTCCCCATCAGTAGGCGACTACTAATTTATGTCATTCCAACTCATCCAGACCTTTTGTGAATTAATGAATATACAGTGTAATGGTCTGTTAATGCAATATTGATGAGGTAATGCAGATAGTAATGAGATGTCCAAAGTAAATCAAAGTGTTCACATTTGGATGAGCACATACTTCCACATGTATTTACGCCCTTCTCCCTTCAGCTGACCATTAATTTAATTGACTGGGCTTGTTGTTGTTCATCTGTTACTTTTCAAGCATGGACAATTATGCATTTATCAATTAAAGTGCTGACAGTTCCTCAACCAGTGATACATCACTGAAATGTGCTTTGGCTTTTATCCCCATGCGCTGTGATCACATGAGCTCTCCTGCTTTAGCTCACTAACAAAGCATGTTTTGAGCTCACTTTCTCCAAAGGTTTTTATTTATTGTCAATATTAAGTCAATTTTTAATCATTTCAATCATTTTTTATGTCTCTGCGTCGGTGTCAGCCAGTGGCTGGAGGCGTTATGTTTTCTGGTGTTTGGCTTGTTTGACCGTCCCATTCTTGTGAAGAAGATATTTCAAGAGAGGAGGGAATTTATGCAATACAAACATTTAGTTGGACTCAAGGATGAACTGATTCGATTTTGAGATGTAAGATCAAAGGGCAAAGTTTTTCCTTTCCCTTGTGAATGAGATGTTTTAGGAACGTCTCCAGAAAATTCTTTCAAAGTTGGTACGATTATTTGCACAGACTCAAGAATGAACTGATTCAATTTTGGTGGTCAGATGTCAAAGGTCATGGTGGACTCGCAAAACATGTTTTTGGTTCTCTTCAACGTGATATCTCAAGTCCGCCTTGAGGGAATTTCTTCACATTTCAACCATTTGTAGTTTGCAATTCAGATTGAATTATTTGATTTGAGGGGGGGTCAAAGGTCAAGGTCAAGGTGACCTTATCTTAATTTGTAATAAACTGTACTGGTTGGCAGAGGCAGAAGCGCAGGGTGGTAATTCTAGTTTTTTCAAATTTCTTCTCTGCTATTCTGGGTGTTTTCCCCCATAAATCTTTTATTGAAATTGTCTTTGCTCTTATTCTCTGGGGTCTCACATAATGTCCTGATATATCTGTAATAATAATAATAACCTCCATTACATAAAATGGTATCAGATGATCTTTCATTGGACCCTTCATTCGTCTGTAACTGTATTTTTTATCAACTAAAATGAACAATATTTTAAACCATTCAGAGACTCTAAATTTGTTTTTCTTATCCTGCATTGTGATGTCACTGATGTATGATTCTGTGTTTTTGTTTAATTGTATTACTGTGTGGGTGTCAGCTGTTACTGTAAGTGCTGCCACAGTTGGTCTCTTAAACACATGGCTGGTATTGGCAATAGTCATTACAGTAATAGTAGTAGCAGCATGATTGTATGACTGACAGTGTGTTTTTTTTATTAGCTCAGTCAACATAGGGATCAATAGTAACTATTAAACATATAATTTTTGTAAAAGAGTAATTGTAGGATGTATAACAGGCATATAGGTAATGCTATTATTAGTGTTTTCTGTGTTTTTGTGTGTGTCTGTATGATGATGATGTTAGTTTGTCTGCTCATGTCTTTTCTCCTTCCATTCCTCAGAGACACGCACACACACAAACACACACACACACTTATACCCGGGTTTCCTCAAATCTTCCCACTGCTGAGAAAGTGGGTGGCAGTGCTGTATGCATACAGTCTGCAAACAGAGCTGAGGGGATTTTAACTGGATACGTCACAACTAAAGGGGGGAAAGAAAAGAGGGAGGGACAGAGGAGGGGAGAGAGGAGAGGACAGCAAACGATGAACAGAGAGAGAAAGAGAGGGGAGAGGGAGGGAGTGAGTGAGAGTGAGAGAGAGTAGAGAGGGATATATTGACTCAAAGCTGGTCTGCATGCTCCACAGTGTGTGAGAGACTGAGGACGTGAGAGCTGAAAAGATGGAGTGCTGGCACAGATGAAGACTGTCCCTGGGTACGTATTTGTGGACGGCTATATTTGTGCATGTGTCAGTTTGTGGAAAGTGTGAGTGCGTCCGTGCATACACATGTGCATGCATGTGCTCTGCGTCTCCGCATGTAAGAGGGATGGGAGCGAATTGAGTTTTTAAGCAACATGCTGCAAATGTGTCATTTGTACACGGGTACGACGGCAATGATTTTGGGTGTTGTTACATAAGAGCAGGATGAGAGACTGAATGAGTGAGGGTATTGAATATGGGAACAGGCTGTTTGGGTCTTTATCCCTGTGTCAGGTCTTAACGCACGCACATGTGTGTGAGAGAGAGTCTGTTTAAGTACTGTAACTTCCTATGGTGAGGAGGCAGTGATGTGCATGTTTTAAGTCTTGTCCTGTTAAGATAAAGGTGGTTTATTGTCAGTATATGAAAGATTACCTCAGTATCTGAGCATGTGTCTTGGTGTGTGTGTAAAAAAAGACAGAGTCAATATTTTATGATGCACAGGAGGTGAGTTATAGATAGTAATATGGATGCAACTGAAGAAAGGAAGATCTTTATATTATTTCTAGTGCTTGCTGACACAGAGGATTCACATTAGTAGCAGTTTTGATCAGATGCTAATGATTTTTCATTGCTTCTACATACAAACGAGATGTTTTCAGTTCAAAGGCAGAGTCGAGTCCAATGCGTATGGAAACACACATGATAACAGCTAATTTACATATGTTACAATAATCGGGTTGTTGGAAGTATTTCATCGAACAATATTCAAATTCCTCTAACTCAGATTTAAAGATTTGCTGATTTTCTGTATTTGTAAACCAGTGTCTTTGAATTTTGACTGTTGGGCAGTAAAAACAAGAAAAGTTGACGACATCATCCCGGGTTCTTCTGACATTTAATACAAATGAACTAATCAAAACACAGAATAGAATAGAACAAAACTTAAATGTCCACCAAAGTGGAAAATTGGCATCGGCGACAGACTACTGATCATTCATTAAAATATTAATTGTCTCTCACATGGCTAATAACAGAGCTGCATTTGGGGTAAAATTATCTTGGAAATCAAGATGTTTGCTAAACTCAAACAACCTGCAAAGACGTAAAGGAAGAGAGGTCACAAGATGCAACATAATGGACAAATAAATATATCGGAGGGGATGACAAGTGACGTGCATCCTCAAGTGACTTGTTATCCAAACAGTGTTTGAAATGATGCTTTCTCGCACATCGTGAAAGTACATAAAAGTGGATTTGTCCGGACACTGTTTAAAGTATTGACTAAATTGACATTTTATTTGTGTGAACTAGTTCTTTATTATGAATAATTCTCACACATATTAACACCATTAAGAGTAGGCGATTTCTTTTTTAAATCTAGGCCAAGAGGAAATTTGTTTTCAGTATCTTTCAGTCTCCGTGAGTAAAAATAGGAAATGATAGCTTTTGGCTTAACTTGGTATGAGTTCGGTTAACGGTTATTTTGCTTCATTTAGTGAAAAATGTGCTAAGGACCGAGAAACGCTTGAAATAGTATTATGTAAATATTGCTCAGGGGACTTGGGAAGAGAGAGAGAGCAGTGAAAGGGAGAGATAAGGGAGGGATTAGAGTTAAGTGCAGATACACAAGTGACATCACATGTTCATACTTTGCAGCATTACATTTGAATATTCATTCAGAGCAGCATAATTGGTGTGCCGACACTTTGTGTGACTCACTCCAAGTGCCAGTGGATCTGCAGAATTTCTATTTCGGCCTTTGAGAAGTCAGGATTGCATCAATAGATGAAGGCAGAGACGTATTTTTGGTTTTCTCCAGGATGTTTCACATGTGTTGTGAATTTCGACTTGTCGCCTTTGTTGACTTGCCTTGAATAGAAGAAGGGACCCCCTGCTGCGTCCGAACAAACTCGCAGTTATTGGAAAGTTAGAGGCTCAGAGGAGGTGGAAGAAATATGCGGTGTGGTTTTGTCTTCCTTTTCTCATTTTAAGCCTCTTGTTCCTCCCCTCTGTTTCTGCCTCAATTGTTATTTTCTCACCTCATTCCTCTCTTCCAGTCCTATTTGACAGTCCACATGAGCGTCTCCAAACCCCCACCGCCTCCCTCCACCTCTCACCTGGCCATCCCCCCCTCCTCCACCTCCACCCCGTCGTCGTCGGCCTCCTCCCCGTCGGCGACGCCCCACTCCACCGCACTGCCCCCTCCCTCGCCGGTCAAGATCTCTATGCAGGAGCACTTTGCCATCAACGTGTGCCCGGGCCCCATCCTCCCTATCCCACAGATCTCAGACTTTTTCCCCCGTTTCCATGACTACCCCTGCACGCCACCACCTCCAAGGGAGAAGAAGATCCTGAAAGAAGAGACGTTCAACGGGGAGACGGGAGGGGGATACAAGGATGGGGAGAGGAGGGGGGACAATGACGGAGACAGGGAGGAGCTGTTGGACTCTGATGATGACGACAGTGAGTTCTGTGTGTGGTGAAAGTTTGTGTTTGTGACATTATGTAAAAACTGAACTAGACAGCATAAAAATGACTCTGCCGAAACTAAATCAAAATTAGTTTCTGCATTTTTTCCTCTGAGCTGCAGCGTGTGCTTGAAGAGTAATTGTGGACTCAAGCATTTTTTTTCCCAGAGTGTGTTTCATTCCCACTTTACGTGACACGGTGCCTCCGATGATTTATTTGTCAATGTTAGAATAGTGAGACTCAGTCTGCGAGTTTCTGTTCATTCCCCGAAAAACGTAATCAAACTAAACAGATCAATTCATATTAGGCAGCATCATGTTTTTAAGAGGCCATCTGCTACAAATATGACTCAGAGCTTTTGAGTGTGTGTGTGTGTGTGCGCCCCTTTACTGGCAGAGTAATTGCAGTGGTTTTTGTTGTTTTCAGCCTACCTGGGCACGTTGGAGTTCAACCTGCTGTTTGATCAGGAGAACAACTGTCTTCATTGTACTATTCACAAGGCAAAGGTACACGCATCTTCTGTTCATCTTCTTCATCCAAACAAACATCTGTCTGTGGTTGCATAATCCTCCTTGTAGGCCCAGTCAACAAAAATTCTCCCATAATGCTTTAGTTTTTGCACAAGGCGTCAGACCTCTTCCTCTCAACCAGTAGCATGTTCGCCACTATACTCTCCACAGCTTGTCAGTTCAACACAAAATCATCTCACGGCACGACAACGACATGCTAGACAAGGTTGCCCCGTCGCTGTGTCACACAGATTTGGCACAGCCGTCATACATACAAGGAAACCAAGCTTGTATTACACATCGAGTAAATGACGTTAATTATATAATGTTGTATATAAATATAATTTATATAGAGGGGGGAGGGGGCGTGGAAAGAAACACCCAGAAGCCTTTTTGAGATGTAACTACAGTAGAGGAGGTCTGTCATATTCACTGTCTTTTTCTGACCCTGTCAGTTGTGTGAAGTGTTTGAGGGAATGATGACGTCATCTTTGACACTACTGTGTGTGTCTGTGTATGCGTGTGTGTGTGTGTGTGT